TGTCCTTGACTTATATATATTTGAACCGCATATGTTTAAAAAGTCTAAAGATAATTCCCTGCAATTTGCAGTTGGCGTCGGGCTATTCTAATTTTACTGTTTTGTGATTATTAAGAAATAAAAAGCAGATAATACTGAGTAAATCAACTCCAGCTTGCTAGAGGTTCATGGCGAAAAACTTTTGACTTGGCACCGAGGTACATGTACATAAGGTGTACCGTCACATATGTATAGGGATGTTAACCGAGGGTCATACTTGTAGATGTAGTGATCAATCCAGCTCGATTGATTGATTGATTGATTGGATGTTGTTTTACGTCCCATTCGAGAATTTTTCACTCATATAGAGACGTCACCATATACCGGTGAAGGGCTTCAAATTTAGACCTTTACTCGGCACTCAGGGCCATTGAGCAGTGAGGGATCTTTATCGTGCCAACGCCCGCCGCGACACAGGGCCTCGGCTTTAAAGTCTCATCCGAAGGGCCCTTAATTTTCACTTCAAAGTGCTGAACGCCTGACGAAGGAACAGCTGCTACCTATTTTTTTATCAACTTAGGTCAGTCGCGGCCGAGATTCGAACTCACGGCTTTCCGATCACGGAGCGAGCGCTCTATCGACTGAGCTACCGTGGCGGCCAAACCAGCTCGAAAATATTTAATTACTTGCTCATATATTTTCCCAATTACAGTTTAATACGTCAGGCAGGATGTCTGTTTTCACAGATAACAAGAGAATATGGCTGAATAGAAGAAGAAAATGCCTATAGTTCAACAAATAAGAAATCAGAAAATAACAAAAAAAATTATTTGACATTTCAATTAACATCAATGTATACATTATGTAAAATCTCCACAATTTGCAGCAATCTGACAAGTATTGAAAATACACATGAATTCATCTATGAAATAGCAGGCACACACTATAGAGGTCAAAAAAATTATCATTTCATTTTATATGACACAGTTTTTGTATATGAATGGGTTTTTGTTCCATTTTTTTTTGGTTTTGTTCGTTTGTTTGTTTGCCTTTTTGAAAGTATGTCTTTAAAGTATGTAAAAAAACATACATTTTGCGGTTAACAAACACCTGAAGCAAGGACCCAATACATCTTTAAAAATATTTTTATTCAAAACATTTGTATTTTTCCCAGAAAAGTTTGAAGTCCAGTTTTTTCAGGGGTCATATCACAAACAAGATTTATGTTATGAGTTATGAGTTGCATGGCGTAGTGGTTAACGTGTCACTATCTGCAAGAATAGAAAAACTTAATACTCAGGATTTTTATTGCTTGAGTTAAAGCCCCTAGAAAACCTTCTTCTTTTTTTTTTATCTTGGAATAATTTTGTCGAGAGAATTTTATTTTCAGTAGGAAAGTTAAGTTTGTCATAATTTTATACTTTCAATAATAAGAACTGTGCACTAAATACGTCACAATTTAATTGATTGTTATACATTGAAGCTATAAGCATTACCTCCGCCTAATTCGCCCATGTTCTTTAGCAAAAAATGAAATAAAATAGTTAGAAGTGTCACAGAGGTAAAATCAAAGAACAGAATTATTCAACAAAAAAAAAAAAAAAAAAAAAAAAAAAAAAATAAAAAAAAAATTAAGTTACTGTTGACTAAAAGTGATTCGGGTTGTCTGGTCGTTTTCAGAGTTTAATTAGGGGTCTTTAGTGAAAGTTCATTAAATGTGTTTATGGAGTGATAACCACCCCTACAGGACACTTTTATCGTTTATTTACATAGCGAGTAAAACAGAAAATTATTCATTATGATATAGGGCTACTAAACTCTCTATTTTCGCTCACCTGAGCTGAAGTCTCAAGTGAACTTTTCTAATCAAAGGGTGTTCGGTGGCCGTCAGTCGTGTGTCGTCTGTCTTCTGTCGTGTGCAAACTCTTCACATTTTCGACTTCTTCTCAAGAACCACTAGGCCAATTTCAACCAAACTTGCCATTCTTGGGAAAAGGGTATTTAAGTTTTTTTTTTTTCAAATGAAGGGTCATGCCATCTATCAAGGGGAGATAATTAAGAATTCGTGAAAATTAATGGCTTTTTCAAAAAAAAAATCTTCTCAGTAACCACTGGGCCAGAAAAATGAAACATGTAAAAGCTTTATTACATAGTGTAGTTTTAAATTTGTTAAAATGATTACCCCCGGGGAAGGGTGGGGCCACAATGGATGATCAAAATTTTACTTGGAAATATATAGGAAAAATTTTAAAAATCTTCTTCTCAAGAACAGCAAAGCCTTGATTAATCATATTCTAAGATAGCATAGATTCAAGTTTGTTCAAATGACTCCGGGGGCTTGGGTGGGGTCACATTAGGCAATCAAAGTTTTACATAGGAATATATAGGGAAATCTTTAAAAGTCTTCCTTTCAAGAAAAGCAAAGCCATGATTAGCCAGATTAATTTTGAATCATTCTCAGGTAGTGTAGATACAAGTTTGTTCAAATCAAGACCCCCGGGGGAAGGATGGGGCCACAATGCACGATCAAATTTTTACATAAGAATATCTAGGAAAAATCTTTTAAAATCTTTTTCAGGAACTGCAAGACCGTGATTAGTCATATTTATATGGAAGCATCCTCATTTAGTGTAGATTCAAGTTTTTTTTCAAATCCTGATCCCCAAGGGAAGGGTGGGGCCACAATGGGCGATCAAAGTTTTACATAGGCATATAAGGAAAAATTATTTTTAAAATCTTCTTCTCAAGGACAGTAAAGTCATGATCATTCATATTTATATGGAAGCATCCTCGGGTAGTGTAGATTCAAGTTTGTTCAAATCATATGCCCCGGGGGAATAGTGGGGCCACATTGAGCGATCAAAGTTATACATAGGAATATAGGGAAAATCTTTAAAAAAATCTTCTCAAGAACAGCAAAGCATTGATAGTCCTATTAATATGGAAACATCCTCAGATAGTGTAGAGTCAAGCTTGTTCAAATCTTGACCTCTGGGGTAGGGTGTGGCCACAATAGAAGATCAAACTTTTACATAAGAATATACATGTATAGGAGAAAATCTGTAAAAATCTTTGAAAGCCATGATTAGTCATAAAAATATGGAAGCATCCTCAGTTAGTGTAGCTTCAAGTTTGATCAAATCATGCCCCCTCCCTTGTCCTTCCCGGGGATGGGGTGGTAGGCTGGGACAACTTATATAATTGAACTTATCTGCTTTTTCTCTGGCTAAAGTGCTCAGGTGAGCGATGTGGCCCATGGGCCTCTTGTTAATGTTCCCATGCAGTCATAAGATCTATATCAAATGTTAACCATGCCTATTGACGTCAGGTATCTCATTCCGGATTTGACAGACATGGGTATCATAATTTAAACAACGTTAAAGTTATTTTAAAAGTAGTTATTTCTGCACTATTTCTGCTCTTCCTACTGAAATAATCTTTAATGAGATTTATAAAAAAAAAAAAAAACATGAATACCTTTTTACCGCATTCTTTAAATATGCCAATTAAAAGTATCTTTTATTGAAACAGATACTCGTATATCTCCTTAAACCTTTTAATTGATGAATTTACATTTGATAAAAATACACTTCTAGAAAAAAAATATAGACTTCGATAGTCACGCTACTCGTTCTACCTAACTTGATGCAATAAAGGCAAACTCAACTTTCAGTGGATTTTCTGTATAATATTCTTTAAATATTCGATCATTTTCTTTTTGCCGGGGAATACCATCTTTCCAAAAACTTGTTGAAAAGTCTTCAAAACATTATAGGATAATTTGCAGACTATAAGTGGAGAATCCAGGACTTAATTGAGATCTGTTCATTTTTATAATATGGTAATTTGGTTTTGGAAAAAAGTTATAACCTAACCTACCCCCCCCCTTCCCAATTGAAATGGCATTTTAGAGTTCGGACAATTTCCAACGATACTATATACTTTATGATAAATCAAGATCTTTTCGAAGACATATACATGTCATACAAAATCAAAATTCCATACAATTTAAAAGAGTGGGGAAATTTTTTTTTTCCAGCTGGACTCGTCAATTATGAAAATTATGCATTTAACCATAACCTGAATTTAATATTAGATATGGATAAATTTATGGTTATAGTGACTGAGAAGATAGTTTAAGTGTTCTCCTAATGTTAAATTTATTTCTTAAATAACCTAAATTTCATAAGGTGTTCACAAAAATTCCCATTTCGCCATTACCACCAAGCTTATTAGGAGAAATTTTACAACCAGTGTGAAATGAGAATAAACCCTTGATGACGGGAACCCACCCAGTTGCATACCCTCAGTGATGTAGACTTGTTTTTCATAAATTACAACGTATTTCGTTCGAAACCCCCCCCCCCAAAAAAAAAAAAAGAAAAGAAAAAAAAACACATAATATACAGTAAAAAAAAACCCAGACATACAAAGAACAACAAAACAAACAAACAAAACACTTTTTATGAAAATCACACTGATACTGATGTGGAAGAAAAAAAATCATTTCTTATACAGGGGTTGATCCTATCAAGTGATAATCAATAAATTTCGATTAAAAAAAAAACAACTTAACTTTTTTCACTCAGATTTAAAATCTGACACCCTAAAATTAAACATTGAAAAGCTCTTAAGCACTTTAAATTTAATGCATGTACGTGATGTGATGTTTGTTGATGTGTTTCGCCAGTAATATGAAGAAGTTAAAATTCAACACTCATCCGGAAAGTCATCCTGATACATTTTTATGTTTATTTTATCACCATCGTGATGTTTCCGGTGTATCCATAGTAGTAGTAATAATTTTTAGTAATGCATACATTGCAAACATATTTCAAAGGTTTAGAAATAAGATTAATTTAATTAAATGTATAACGTTAAATGTATCAATCATATGTAATTCTTTTAATCCGATTATAATGTTGTGTAGTTTTGAAAAGAACGGAATTTGAATCGGTAACATCAAAACGAATTTAACACGTTGAGTAGCATGGCGCAAAAAATCCATCTTCTTTTCTGCGTACCCAAGGTTTCATTTGCACCTTTCATCTGACACTGTGATCGGGTTTTTACCTGGCGGAGTAATACAACAGGAACTATAATCAGCATTGATTCTTTCACGATCACGACCAATCATGCATAGCGGTTTCGTAGCGCTGTCAGTCACAGGCATGCAGATTTCCAATAGCAGATAAAAATGCGGACGTTTTGAATTTGGATCGCTGTGATCTCCATTCTCTCCAGACTTGATGATCATTTTTCTAGTTTATGAGGATTAACCCAGTATTTATTGCATAGTGACTTGAAAAATATTTCGCCATGGGATGAGCGGAAATATATATGCCAGCGAATTTATTTTGATTTGGAATCATAGCCAAAAGTTAAACAATGTCAGAGAACAAAGTCAAAGGAGGAGGGGAACAAAATCTGACAGTAAGTTTTACAATATTAATTGATCAGCTGATAAAAGGTAAAGTTCAGGGGTGTTTATAATAAACTTATTGAATTTACACACATTGTATTTCAAGGAGGTTCTAAAAAGGGAAATTGGAATTGCTTTTCAAAGTCTAAATTATTGTCTTTATTATCCATTTTTACTCTATGTTCTCCAATTTATTTCATATAAAATTACATCAGAATACTGAAGCTACATATCTACATAACGATGAATGAATAAAAAAAATTCTGAACTTCTTTTTTTATAAATTACATGTAGTAATGCCTTGTAACATTATTTCATACTTCATTATTTTATTTTATTTTTTTTTTCGTTTATTTTGATAGTGATTTTGTGGATTAAGATGCCTAGGTACAATGATTCTTTTCATTTGTAACTAAAATATTTTATATTCATATGCTCATATGCAGCAACTAAATTTTTTTTAAATAAATACATTGTATATATTCTAGCATTCTATGCATTCTTCTTTTTGTATTAATGTTGGATTCGTAAGTATTAACATCAAATAGTGAAATATGCATTACATTGCATTTCTCTGTATTTTCAAAAAAAAAGAAGAAGTTTTTTCTGCCTATTCTAAATGAAAAATAATTAATATCCAAATTACAGGTGGCACTCAGGATAAGGCCATTGAATGAAGATGAAATTCTTCAAGGAGCCACACAGATAGCATACAAAGTACAGAAAAAGGTAAATAGTTCTAAATGAAGTACTGTAAATAGACTTATTTTAGCACCTTTTGTGCTGTTTCTTGTCCACTGATTTGTGCAGATGCTATTACATGATCAAATCTAATAGATGTTGTTAAAACTCTGGTATAATAATTTATGATTGCACTATTCAGTTGAAGAGGTCGATTGCATTAAATTTTGAGGGCATTAATTTATACGTACATTTACTGTAGTCTGTGTCCACCTGTAGATCTTAGAGATGAAACACTGTCATAGGGTGTGTAGTGAATACGCCACTAAGTTGGTAAAGTACCGCTATTGTGTACAAATGTATACTGGATTTTGTCAGAATTTGTTACAAAAGATAACAAGTACCACTATGGTAATCATATTTAGTGACCAGTACTGTTTTTGAAATTTTGTTATTTTCATTATCATATGAACAATACAAATAAATCAGTCACCTGTGATATTCTGTAAGGGAGGAAAAGGCACTTTTGAGTATGATAATGTAGACAATTTTATGTACAAATAAATCGATTACCTTTGATATTCTGTAAGGGAGGAAAAATATATTTTTTAGTAGATACAGTAGACATTAAATGTATCAGTTATCTTTGATATTCTGCTAGGGAGGAAAAACATACCTTTTAGTATGATACAGTATACAATTGCAAGACATGCAACACAGGGTAATATGCAAGCCATAAAGGAATCAGTTATCTAAAATTTCTTATCTGTATAGAGTCAAATGGATCATTTATGTTAGATCTGTTATAATATGCCACCCATAGAGATATGCAATTAACACTTCAGATGGAATTAAGATCATTTCCTACACATTCCTTGCCCTTAAGAATTTTAAGAGTATATTTCGTGCTTCATAAATTAATTCTCTTAAAGCACTGTTACACCTACAATGATTTTAGCAGCTGATGTATACATCATATGTCCAAATCTACCAAATTTATCTACATATTAGCTAGGTACTAGTTTATGATGCACATGTATAATCAAAAGGTATGAGCAGTAATTATTGATAATTCAGGTTGATGACTTTATTAACTACAGATGGAAGGGAATCATATTTATTGAATTTCAATTTTTTTCCTTCTAAATAATGGCTAAATGCACTGATACATGATTCAACTCTTACCTTAAAAATTTCATTTATTACGTACAAGCTAGAAATTTAATACCTATATATGTACATTTTTTTCATGAAAATTTTTCGTAGAAAAAGGGAAAAAAGAGAAAACGACTAAAAGCACATTTTCTTACTTATCTTTTGCTGTTTGTGAGAAATGGGGAGGATGATTTGAAGTGCACGTTTTATTGCTTTACATTATTCCAATCGATCAACGTAATGATGAAAATTGGGATGAAATTTACGTAGGTGATCAGGGAGATTGGTTTAAGACATGACTTTTTAATAGCACAGGTTAAAAATGGCTTGTAATCATATTCGCATTATACTCATTCTTTTCACTGTGGGAGGTCAATTTTGTTTTCTGAAAACCTTGAACTCTCATGAAAAATGTAGAGCCATTATTACAACTATGATAAAGAATACATTTGAGACTATCAAAGCATGGGATGGTTTTTCACCTGCAACTACATAATACAGGTTTCTGAAACAGGTATCAAGCATTGAGACAAGCTTGATAGAGAAGCAGTAAACTTCCCATAAATAATTTTTGAACAACATTAACAGTGTAGGTATTGTAATTAGGAACATATAATTTATGCATGGTGAGTTGAGAGACTAGAAGCCTATTTTGACATGAATATTTGATCAGCAGGTGATAAATATATTTTTGTCAGAAGATAATGATGTGACAAAGAATTAATATGGGTACATGTGACACTAAGGCTTATACAAGCATCTATATATTGATTCCAACTCAGGATCCCAAGAATATATTCCCAGTGTATAAAATCAATGCTTTATTTCTATGAGTCCCTCCTTAATGTTACAATCAAGATGGAAATCATTGATTTTTATTGATTTTTCAATAGAGTATCCGAAATAGTATATAGTCTCGCTGTTGACACTAATTTGATTTCAGATAAGTATTAAGCTAGATAATAAATCCAAGAGATACTGTTAAATGATGAGAACAAATAAAATTTTCGAATGTCTCTCCTATTTTGGTGTAGAATTTTACATCAATAATTTGATGTACAAGGAAAAATGCCTTCACATTTTGAATTGTCTACTTAATTTCATGGTAATTTTGACACACTTGCCATGCTTTTATGTTACGAGAAAGAAAGTAAAGTAACTACCAGATTTAAACTCTTCCTATGGTTTATATATCAAAACTATATATTCTATTTCAAGTTAGTGTCGTTGTTGGAACCCATAGGTTTTCTCTATTCTCCACTTCGTTGAAATAAGTTTAACAGAGAAAAAAAAACCCATGGGTTAAAATTCCGACGATGAGTGAGAATTTTTTTTTAACTTTGTTTGAAATACATGTATGGTATTTAAAAGCTTGTTACCCAGTATAATAATGCTGTTCCATTCCAGTTCAGAATGTTGAAAAAACACTGTAATGCTTAAAAGTTATTGCCTAATAATTTTTCATAATATTCAACAAAAACTTGTGTGATTTTGGAACCATTAAAAAAAATTTTTTTTTGAAGAATTCTAGCCCAGCTAAGTGATTTCGTTATGTAGCTTTGGAACAAATTTGAAGTAAATATCAGATAGTTTTGATTTTAGATTGTATTGTTATGGACAAACAACGAAGGGGTATTCTCAGTTTGTTCACTCTAAATATTGCTCGTGAATTTGTGTTTACACACTTTGTTCCCTATGAAAGACGTGTAAATTAGTTTGGATCATAGGCAATCAAAAATATCAATCACTGATTCTCCATATTAAAGTACACTGATGTTTGTACAAAGGTCTTCTGCTTGATTCATTTTCTCAACAGAATGTCAAATGGAATGGTGAAATGATATAAGAAAAGACTTTGTCATTGTCCAAACAAATCAAAGAAATTGCTTTTCAAAATCCAAAACATATTTATTAGCAATACAAGGCCTCAGTTTTTTATAGGTCACACTTAAGGACATCATTTATATTTGTAATAATGAAGTGTTTAGTTTGTGTTTTTAATAAGAATACGTACAGGATGAAGAGGTTATTTTGAGCCTTTTTTTATATAAAAGCATGGCATGATTTTAAGGATTTTGAAAGAGTACCCTTAAGTTGTGAGTTTCGAGTTCATCTACTCATCTCAAGGTTTTGTGAAAAGGAAAGAATGGGAAATATAGGGATCAAAGGCTGAAATTTCTCAAAAGCACTACATGTGTTAAATGACACAAACAAAATCTTTAAGAATATTATTTCAAATATTGTGAAATTTTGGTCTCCATGTATATGCCATGCAAAGAGTGTTTTGCCCTTGAGAGATTGAGTGGTCTAATAAATTTACAATTTTAAAAAGGCAAACAAATCCACCAGCAATTAATTAAGAATTTACTTAAATATATATAAAGAGATACTCTTGCTCTTTTTCATGTAACCCTAGAGATGAATTGAAATTTTACTTTCAACTTAAATCTTGGCATACATGTATGGTGAAAGCTGCATAATAGCAGTGAATGTGAGGATTTAAGTGTCTGTATACATGTATAATGAAAGTGGAAATTAATACCTTGCCAAAAAAAAAAGAAATACAAGGGCTATATAATTTAGAGCACACACATAAAAGATTTCATGCACACACATAAAAGATTTCATGCAACACCACAGTGTTTTCCTTTTGCCAGAATTTAAGATTGCATTGAAATTAAAGACATGAAGAATATCAACTATTTAGAAAAATCTAAAGAATATACAAAGCTAACACACAATATGACTTTTCTGTCTGTCTTTTCATCATTTGTTTTGTCTGTCTGCTTGTCTGCAGTACACTGTAAGCAGCAATGCTTCCTCATTCAGCATACATGTACTGGTATCTTTTTATGTATAAGTGAGCAATATATGCTTTTTGGATGTGTGTCTTTGTACAAACTGAATTCATATTTACCCCCTCTCTAGAGGGTGCTTTTAAATTATTTTTCTATTCCAATTTTTTGTCCTTTCTTCTTATTTTTTTGAACAGTCAGGAGTAAAACTCAGGCTATCATGCCAGGTGAATGGTGAAATACAAATTCTGTATGATTCACCATAAAGGCAAACAAAACACAATGTTTTACAGTTCCGAAGTGAATTCACAAAATTTATAAAACACAGAAATAAATCTTCATCATTTTGAAACAAATTGCAAAAAATTTATTAATCAACACAAAACTTTTCCTCTTTTATGGTAGACCATATCTAAAAAAAGCTAAATTTTGAAATTTTTTGAAAGTTTAAAATCTTTATAGTCTGGATAATCTTTGGTATCCTCCTTTGTAGATGGTGGTATTGATGGACCCCATGGAAGACCCCGAGGACGTGTTGAGAGCCAATCGTTCTCGAGAGAAGCAGTTTGTCTTCGATTATACATTTGATGGTGGTGCTTCTCAGGTATGTAAATAGATATGTTCTATAAAAAAAACTTTAAAAAATGTGAAATTAAATGTTTATATGAATTCAAATTTAGATAAAAGCTTAATGAAGCAAACATGTAATCAACACGTCTTAGAGACCTGTGAAACATTGACAAGACAATCCTAAACCTAGATTTCCACAATGAAATTGTAATTGTAATCTACGATTAGGGATGGGTATCGGCACAAATTTCGTATCGTGATATATCACGATTTTTTCCCCAAAATATCAAGATTGATCGTGATATTTTTACACACGATTTCTACTACAATTTCAAATGAATTTAAATAGTATTTCTAAAAAATCTGCTATAAAAACATAACTTTACTTTTTAAATTTTTATTTATTTAATATATTAAAGCATGTTTGGAGGCCGTTGTTTAACTGTTTCCAACATTTTTTACACTTCCTGTAATTGTCATTCAATAGTTTGAACAAATAAATGAATAATTTCCGGAATTTAAAGTTATGTACCAAATACCGGTACTTTAGTCTCCGTATCATGATACGTATCACGCAACAAAAAATAGCGATATACTGGTATACCGATAAAATCGCTCATCCCTGTCTACGATGTACATATACATGCTGGTTAACCAAATTTAGGAGTCCCTTTAGTGTGGTCTTATTTACTCATCAGTCACTGTTTTCCAAGGTTTAGTACTTATTGATAGTATTGTACTGTGTTTAGTATACTGGTTTAGGGTGATTAACTGTTGATACTAAAGTTTATCCAGTCCTCTCTTGGCCTGTGGTTAAAGGCTTAAATAACTGTATAGTGTTGGTATTTCATTGTGATTTAATCCAGACACAAATGTATTATTCACAAACTGTTATGCATGCATGACCACCTAAACAAAAAGACAAAAACGTGCCATTAAGGCATTAACTAGTACTGAAGTAGAAAAATGAACAGAAAGGAATGGGGGTAGGGGGTGGGGTTTGAGGGGGGATTGAGAGGGTTATGAATGGAAAAACTTGAAAGTATTTGAGATGAAGTCTAAGTCATGCAGTTTTTAGATATCTTGAAAATATTATCATGTACATCTGTATAACAATTTGAAAAATGAAATAAAGGAATCCTGTTTAAATTTTATACTCATTTGTACTTGATAATTTGTATCGTAAATACATTTTAATGCGAGATAATTCGATAACCAAAACAAAAAAAAAAAACAACAACCTAGAATTACCAACAATGAAAATTCAGAGAAAAAGCGTCTTGTATTATATCCATCGCGTAAATTGAGTTAACATTCAAACAAGATTAAATCAAAATGTATTAAAGGAGGATTAAATGTGTAAGGGTTTGCCAAGTTCACAACAATCGCTGAATGTGCAATGCGTGCAGTTTGATGCATGTACTTCAAGAAATGGTAATCAGATCTGAGCAGTAAATGAGACTGAAATAAATACCCTTATACAATGCTAAGAAGACATTATTTTGCCATCAGATTTCATGCTTAATCAAGTTGCAAAATGCAGTTAATTAATAAAAGTACCCAGCTCTTGAATCGGGTAAACAATTTTCTAGCTTTTTTTAACAATTGCAGTTCTAAATGGGAAATACGACTTCCGAAAGACCTGTGGAATCAGGATATTGAACAGAATTGATTCCAACATGCACTTGGCATTTACTTGACCTGGAAATTGTAGCTTTAGGAAACAATTTGTAATGTTCCAATTGCCTCAAATGGGACTCGTTTTATTCGATTTAAAAAGAACAACAATAAGGTTATAGCCCTAATCTGAGGTGATCACAATATTTGTGTGTGCATGCACACAAAGAAGTTAAATCCTGATATTATTATTATTAATATTCATGTAGTTAAATCCTGATATTATTATTATTAATATTTATGTACACATCTAAATTTCACGCAGTAAACTTTAATAAATCACTGTGTGAATATTTTGGATTAAATATTTCTTATTATTGCTTTTGAGAACACTCACAGGGAGAAACAACCATTTTTGTATACAACTTTTTTTTCTAATGTTATTTACATGTTGTTTGCTTGACTTTCTTTGAGAAGGAACAAAAGAATTTTAAATCCACTTCAAGTCACACAGATAAAACACATTATTTAATATATATATCCCTTTGGTAGCCCAAGAAAAATATTTAAACATTACCAGTATATTGTTTTGTTTGTCAGGTCATTCAAAGCATTTTAATTTTTGGCTGATTCAAACATTTCCCAACTGCTGGCATCGAAATTTTAATGACTGTGTTTGAACAAAAATGTTTTGTTTGTTATACATGTATATCAAAGAAATGACTTTATTTTCAAGTCCAGGAACATAGTATTGTGGTCATGTTCTAAATTGGTTAGAATGCCATACTCCAAGAACATAGTATTATGGCCGTATGTTATCAAGTTTTAATTAGAATGCCATATAGTCCAAAAACATAGAATTGTGGGCATATATCAAGTTTTAGTTAGGATGCTATAGTTCAGACAGGAATGCCAGAGAAGTCTTGTTTTTGAATTCATAAATTTTTCATGTAATGGGTAATATCTGCAGTTGTTCATTTATTGCATATATTTCTGGTTCTGTCAAAATTGGAAAAATAATACAGTATCTCAAAATATTCTAATCATATACAGTCAGGAGTGAGACTGAAATCCATCATATTGAAAAAAGATGGATTATTGTCATTTCTACAAGCTACATTTCATTATTTTTGTTAAAATGACTTATTTTCATCATACATGTATTTCCATTCCCAAGTTAATTTTTCCACCCTGTTTACTGCAATAATAATTAAGTTATATTAAATTGCTAGCTGTCTTGCAATAGACCTATGTGTAGAAAAATGTCGTAACAAACAATTGAAAGCAAAAAAAGTAATGCACCGGGGTAATACAAGTGAGATAGTTAGTGTGTCCAGACCTACCAATTTGATTCAAAAAGATGAAATATGAATATTTTATGTCTGTTCTTTTTTTCATTATCTTAATAAATCATGAGCTTTAATAGTCATTTCTAAGAGTTAATTTTATGACTAGTAATCACCATTTTCAGAAATGATGAATTTCAGTCTCCCCTCTGACCTGATATACACTGTATCTTATGTACTGAAAATCAAATGGAATCCCCAAAAATTCAAATGCAGAAATTAGAATTTTATATTTGCTGGATCAAATTAAAAAAAAATTCAGCTAGGCCACAGGAATTACTTACTGTACAATACATGTATGTGTATGTAAATTATGTGTACTGCAACACATACTCATTTAGTAACATTCATTAACAACTGTACTTGCATAGATTGACCATTTTCATTCGTGATTGAATATATTAGTAGTTTGTCATAGAAATAAACTACTAACAGTACATATGGTAATCAGTATGTATATATACATAGTAGAAGTGTGTATCAGGAAAAACATGTACCAGGTAACTTTTGAAAAAATTCAAAGAAGATGGGCGAACAAGGGGAGCAAAATGGTTATCATGCGACAAAGTGAAAAATTAAATCTTAATTATGACAATTTTTTTTTATATTTCATTTAACATTAATGTAGACTCTTCACAAATCGCAACAATCTCACAAAGGTTGAAATTATTTGTCTATGAAATAGCATACATATACCAAAGAGGGTAAAAATGATCAATTCTTCATACTAAAACAATTTTTCCATATGATTTGGTCTTTGCCCCATTTTTTTTTTTTTTTTTTTTTTGAAAGATTATACTCAAAGTATGCATAAAAATACACATTCTTCAATTAACAAAACCATGGAGTGAAGACAAACTATACTTTAAAATACACTTTTATGACACAACATTCGTATCTTTTTGAGAAATATTTGAAGTTCGCATATGAAATGACTATATTTGTTATTAGAGGTATAGTGTAGTGGTTAGCGTATTAGTCTCAATAGGAAAATTGATACTCAGGATTTTTATTGCTTGGGTTCGAACCCAAAGAATACTTTTTTTTTTTTAAATCGTAGAATGATTTTTGCCAAAAGAATTTTCCACAAAAATGTTTTGTTTTACATAATTTCATACCTTTCAATGATAAGAACTACGCTAAGTAGTAAATTTACAAACTGAATATGACTTTTATACATTCAGAGATATAGATAAGCATTTTGCATGCCTTGTTCACCCATCTCCTTTACACTCAATTATTTATTATTGCAATGAGGACAAGCATTTCCATCAATTTTCTTAAAAGGGAAAAAGCTCATAATTGAGAAAATTTTATTGCATTTTATTAACATTACCTCAGGGAAAAGTTGCATCGTTTCAAGGAAATTTTCATGAATTTTTCTCTCCTATGTAATAAATACAATTAAAAATAATCAATACATTTTGCCTATCAATGCATAATATTTGACTCCATTTATTTATAATTCATAGATTATATACATATATATGAAAATTTTTAAGCCTTGTGGACAATAGCTATATATTGATCTAGTCTGGAAAATTCCTGCGCTACCACAGACAGATCGGGGTGGGTAGAATACGAGAAGCTAATTGTACTTGGGCTAGTTTTTACACATGGACGTAGAGTCACTTTGTATCATGATATTAGAAAAATTAGCTACATCAAAATTCCTGATGAAATTTTGAATGAAAAGTTGACAGGTTTTGTTAAGCCAATACTTGTTGAAAAGTAAATATTTATTAATAATAAATAGAATGGGAGATATTTCAAATGCCTATAAGGAAAGGAAAATGAAATACCAAATAGAAAATATTGCTCGATTTTGACTTAAATAATGTATTTCAAGATTAAAATATATAATCATTATTTGTATATAGATAATTAAGCACAGAAATGCAAAAATTTCAATAGTAGATATATCAGTAATCTTTGGAATGGATGATTGTGTCAATGGACACGTTTAAAGAATGGGGTTGTTGGAGATAGACCTTTTTGACACCCTTGCTTTAAACTACTGAATTGTCTGGTTTACATTTATTTTAACATGTATTATATATTTCTTACAGAGCAATCACAGTCCCTTTCATATATGTACATTAAAAAATATCAAACAGTGGAGATATTCCAAGAGAACAGGTGTGAAATAATGGTATTGGTTATGAGGTCATTAAATGTAGATGTTGGTTTTATATTTTACAGGGGGAAGTATACCGAACGACCTCTCAGTTTCTGATTCCCAGTGTAATTTCGGGATATAATGCCACTGTTTTTGCCTATGGCGCCACAGGTAAGGGTCCAGTGGTCTTTATGCTGTTTAATTGATTTGATATGCCCATACTTAAATTTCAAATCACAGAAAGAAAGAAAGAAGATTAAGTTGGACATATACAAATGCATTTGCTAATGAGGTTTTCTGCCCCAAAACTATAGTACTTGTACTACATGTATATAACATTTTAGCAACCCTTATACCAGTAGCTTTTAGCTTTAACATTTTTAAACTTCATTTAATTTTGAATTGCAATATCATTGACCACTTCAGCAAAACTTGGAAGGATCAATTTATGTTTTTGTGAAGCTTTTGCACTTATAAATGAATGGTTTTATAATTTTTCCAACCTGGATCTTTTAAAATAATTATGGAATTGATGCAAATGGACACTTTAAGCCATATTTATTAACCTACCGATTTCATAAAGGTACATGCATTGATTTTATCATGGATTTTTCCATTATGAGTGTTTAGCAAATACAAATGGAAAAACAGCTTGAGATAAATGGAGCATTTGAAGTGGTCATATAATCTACTTCAAAGAGCAATAACAGTGTGCAAGGTTTCACTGTCATCTCTTTGTTTCCAATTTCCTCTTGCTGTGAATAAATAGTTGTCTTATTTTCATTAGCAATAGTATCCAATTTTAATAATAAATCTAAGATATATATAGCTTAAATGCACAGTATTTTTAGAAAGTGTGAAGAAATCAATGAGAAGAAAACTACAATGATCTCCTGTTATGAAAAATAATGCTGCCCACTCATTTTTAGATCGTATACTTAAGCAGTAGAATGTTTTGGGGTTTTTTTTTCAGTGTAAAAATTATGGTTATTTTAGAAAGTTTTGCAGGAATTTTATGTTAAAATTTTTATCATTTTGTATATAATTATCTCATTTTTAAGATTGCCCTTCAAGGATAAAGGCAAAAAGAAAAAAAATATTAAGGACACAAATTGCTACAAACAAAAAATTGGATGCATGCATGAATTCAGTTGGTACATTTATATATTTTGGGACTTATTTGGGTTGTAAATGATGCAAATGTTTAAAATATTAGGAAATTGTAGATGTACTATGATATTCACATTTCTTCATTTTTGCAATCAACCTTATTAGAGACATAAATAACGGAGTTCGGAGTTCACAGCTACACCATTAACAGCTGATTAACATGTTAATTTACAAAAGTATGTCATGGCTTTGGCAATATCCTAAAAATTACTCTTTATTGGTTGTGTATTTCAATCTTGAGTTAAATAAAAATTAATTTCACTATAAATTGGTGTATGATTTGTAAAGTTTTAAAACTATATATTGATTATTAAAAGCAAACTAGGCAAACTAAAGAGGTCATTGATCGAAAATTGGTAAAATCTCCAGAGACATGGCCAACCACAGGCCATCTTTGCTATTTCTGATTTCTCCTGTGTTACTGTATCAGATAGAGAAACTTACAAAAATGGAACATTCTGAATAGTGTTTTTCAAAATAAATTAAAAGGTTTTCCTTCATTATCCTTCAGTTGATAATTTTAAAGATTTATATGATATAAATTGCTTGAGATTTGAAAACAGTAAACAATAGGACCACAAGATCTTGTGAGATTTCAAACAGTTGCAAATCTCTTTGACCTTATACATCTAAACATTTTTTATGACATTATAGGATATTAAGAAACTTTGAATGAAAAAATGAAAATATTTTGCCTTAACTTATTCATTTTACTTATATAAACATATATTTGGTTGTTTTATTCATGATTTTTGAAAAAAAAGAATGTAGCATCTGTCGTTAAGTGTAACAAAACTGTGGCCAAAATGCAATCTTGCACAAACCAATCAAACAAAATGGTTTTGGGCTAGTATAAAATGGAGCAGAATTATTTTTTCAAGATATCAATTTAGGTGAAAATAATAAAGGTAGAAATTTTCCCTTCCCTTCACCTTTACATATACAACTGACACATTTATGTCATCACAATACCCTATTGGCCTAATACACTTAGTGTAATGTTGTTAACTGACTTAGGTTACCTTCTGATTAATATGTTCATCTTGAATAAAATATAAGGTAATAGATGTATTGGAGATGAGGGAATTTGGTCCATATTTAGAAATGCTAATTATGTGTTTCAAATTACAGTAGATCACTTAATACACAACATAAATATTGCATGTTCTGAGTTAAAATGGTATCATTGAAAACCATTGTCAACCAAAATGCAGCCAAGGTTAACAATGGCTTTTGAGATGTAACACTTTTCAAAGTTACACTCAACTGCATGCAATTTTTAGCTCACTTGAGATGAAAGCTAAGCAAGCTTTTCTGATCACCCATTGTCTGTCTGTTTGTCCGTCTGTCTGTAAACTTTTCACATTTTTTACTTCTTCTCAAGAACGTTGGACCAATTTTAACCAAAGTTGGCACAAAGCATCCTTGGCTAAATTGTTCAAATAAAGGGCCAAGTCCCCTTTTCAAGGGGATATAATCAAGAAAAAGCAGAAATAGGATTGGGTCATTTAAAAAAAATCTTCTCTGGAGCCCCTTGGCCAGAAAAGATGGAACTTATTTGAAAACTTTCTGAGATAGTTTTTATTCTACTTCAGATCATAGCCCCTGCAGGGGATAGGGTGGGACCACAACATGGGATCAAAAGTTTACATTGAAATATATGAAAAAATTCTTTAAAAGTCTTCTTGTCAAGAAACAGTGGACCAGAAAAGAAGAAACTATAAATGTAAAAGCTTTTTTGAGGAAGTGTAGATTCTCAATTGTTCAAATTATGGTCCCTCAGGGTAGGGTGGGGCCACAATAGGAGATCAAAGTAAATAGGAAAAGTTTTAAAAACCTTAAGAACCACTGGCCCTGAAAAGTTTGAAAATTATTTGAAATCTTCCTAATATAATGTAGATTCAAATCAGGGCCCAAAGGTGTAGGGTGGGGCCACAATAGGGGATCAAAGTTTTACATGGGACTATATAAGAAATGAACTTTAAGGATATCCGCAACTCAACAAGGAACAATAACTCATAAAATTATAATTTAATTTAAAAAGTTTCAAAATGAAGCTTGGAAATCTTTTTAAAATCTGATGACGAATGGCAAAACTTAAGTTACTCAGATTAGTATTATGGTCCATGGGCTTCTTGTCTGTTTTATTATATCACCCGTTGTCAAGTAATGTTTCCATCAAGGGTAAAGTTTCTGTTCTCAGGGGGTGACATTATGTTTTTTTTTTAAACATCTCTCAACCAATCAGATTTAGACTTATTTACTTGAAAGTATAATCTTAGAGGGTAACTTTATGTTCATTTCAAACATCTCTTGACTAATCAGATTATACTTATATCTACATGAACATATAATTATAATATTTAACATATGAAATATAGGATGCTGTTATGTATTGCATCATGTAATTTTCATTTATTTGAATAAAAAAATTTTATTTTGTTAAAAGGTGTTCAAGAAAATTAGGCCATTAAGGAGTTGATATGTTTTAAACTAGGTTTTGTTACTGATTTTAGGTAAACTTGTTTAACAGTAAAAGCATAATACCCCAATGCAACTCCACTTATATACTCCATAGCACCCACTCCAAAATTGAGCTTCAACTTGCATATTCATTAACTTTCAAACTTATGAACAGGTGCAGGAAAGACCTACACAATGCTGGGGGCACATGATGAGCCAGGAATCATGGCCCAGGCCCTCAATGATCTATTTTTAGAAGTGGAGAGGACCAGTGAGGACATGTCCTACAAAGTGACCATGTCCTATTTAGAGGTGGGTACTAGCTACATCATAAGTGTAGTTTTTGTTATTGGGTTGTTATTTGATATTGCCCAATTTGTTGGAATTTTGTATTTTTGAGGGAAAGGGGGGGGGAGGAGCATTAGAAAAGTTTAATAAATTTAATTCTCAAAATGAAGAAAATTCAATTTTGTCCCACATTGCCATTAAGAATATTTGAGTGCCTCATCAGAGACCAGCACACTCAATCTCACATACACTTGTTGAGCAGTAAGCTTATGAAAGATTGACTGTGGTTTTCTGATGATGATTTGAATGAAAAATATTAATTTTTGATTGAGCTTTGGTAGTTTCAGTTGAGACAAAAAACCTCATAGCATTACTTCTTTTTTTTAAATGAAGTACACATATGTATGAAATATAAACATGAATTGGCCTATGGTTCTCCAACACTGACACACCTATAGGTTTGATATTTTGCATTAAGGACGGTATATATTTCTTAGATACTACTGCTTTCAATTCAAACATGTTTGAGAATTCCATGAATATAGAATAGAATATGGACTATTTTTTAGTGAGACCATTGTGGTGTTTTCTAGAAGAATCTAACTTCCAATTCTGGCTCACTAGGGCTTATAGTTAGATGTGTGCATATCTTGTAAACTTCATTTCTACAATTTTGCAGATGAAAATATTAAGGATGAGACATTTGTCGATAGGAAATATTGATGATTGTTAGCCATTGTCTATTTTGTCAACATTTAGAGTACATGTATAATATACAAAAGGGGTATGTTACTACTCGACAGAATTTAAAACTCATCATAGTGCATATTCATTACATGTATTTAGAATCAGATGTTATTGTGTACAGAGAAGTAAGAAAAATGACAAGCTGATTGCACACTGTGACTAGAGATCTTTTAAATGACATTGAATAGGATCGGACATATTCCAGGCTTCATAAAAGAATATAAGATATAAAAACCCGCTTATATGAAAGCTGAAATAAAATATCAAAAGAGTTTCAAAGCTGTACCAGGATTTCCGTTGAAATGGAAATAAAGTTTAAATTACTAGTATTGTCACAATCTATACTTTGAATATAGAGCGATTTAGCTAGAAAAAAAAGATGGAATCGTGGGGCAGTAAAATTTCAATACATACTTTTGAAACTAAATCTGATAAAGTAACAGGATTAAGGGATGACAAGCAGAAACCTGATAAAGTTCCGTCTAATCCCTCTAGTTATTCCTGTCAGAAGGATCAAATAATTAACCACGCATTGAAATTGGGGTTCCATCCGATCGGGTTCTAAGCCTGATTGATGCATTCAAACTTGACTGTGTTTCAACAAGAGGGAATTTAGGACCTGATTTCATCCTGCTTATTTTCTGCCTTGTTGCTGTCAGGACTGTGTTTGGAATTAATTCATCTTGGTCAACAGCACTGAAACTTGATCTTTCAGATCCGTTTTATCCAAAATCAATTTGGGGGGAAAGTTTTTGATAATATAAAAATAAAATTTATAATCGATGTGGTTTAAATTTTAAAAGGGGGAAATTGGTGCCTCGGGTTTGGTTGATGATTGATAATTATCTTGTCATTAATTTTTATGAGAATTTCAGAAGACTGCAATGACAAATGGACTCATCTCATCTGCTAAATTTTATCTGAAGTGTATTCTATCGATCGAAATTGCAAATTAGGGATATAACGTGAAATAATAAAATATGATCCTACTTTGTTATGTCCTTTGATGCATGTTATAAATGTTTCGTTACCATGTAACTTTCACACGATAAAAAATATTTCCTTTATGTAGCTTGCTTTGAAACTGGTGCTTCTTTGTTCACCTAATGTATCTAGGATTATAGACATAGAAACATCCCATTGTGTTTTCATAATTTTGTTTACTTATAATGAAGTTAGGATATAGACTTTTTATATCTTTACATACCCATACCTTTATGTTAGTAATCTAAAGTTACAGGTTTTTTTTTTTTTTTTTTTTTTTTTTTTGCAAGGGCTAGAGTCAATTTTTTTTAAAGGTGTCTCTAAGAGACCAAGTTAAATACTGAAGCAGCCTTTTTTAACCATGATCAATAAAATTGTTTAAAGGCAAATGAAGAGTAAACCTTGATACATTCAGGTTTTTATTATTGCAACAGCAGCCTTGGATTAGGGGCAAGGATAAATTTTCAAAAGCACATTTTTTATATTTGTTCATCTTTGAATAAATTGAAATCTATACATTGACTGGCCTTGAGTCAATTTAAATCAGAATACAGGTTTATAGATGTGCATAATAGGTGACTTTAGTTCATTTAATGCCATAATGCATGGGCAGAATTTAATAACATGCCATATTTTACAAATTAAATGCTGAAATGATTTATTTATATATTCACCAGTTTTAATTTATTAATTCTGAAACATTTTTCCTTATTTCATTTTGCTAACATTTGTGAACTAGAAGATTTACAAGTATTTAAAAAAGTACTATATATAATTTAAATAGTCTTTAGAAAACCTATTCTTAGAAGCATACACAATTGAATTTTTCTCTCAAGTAGATTAAAAATGAATGTGCCCAAATTAAATATTAGGATTTTCTTTTCACCAATTTTACTTCTTTTATATACATGCACAACAAAATAAAAAAATATTACGCCATGGTAATCCTTACTTTGGTAGTTTGTTTAGATCTGTTTGTAGACAAATGAGAGAATTCTTTAAATTGACAACTTAAGCAATTATAGAGCTGATTTTTAAATCTTAAACAGCAATGTCATCTTTGTGCTCTGTCATCACTGGGACATTACTCAAAGTGCAAGTTCTGTTGCCTTTGAAATTTTAAGTCATACTGACAAGTAAAATTGATATCACTTATGTGCTGGCACATACAGTAGAATTCACGACTTTTCTGACATTTAATCAAATGTTCAATTACAAAGACTGTAGATTGCCATTTATATAATTCATCACCTTAATGTACTAATTTATTTGGGAACATGATTGTTCAATTATGATATTAGGTGATAGATTGCATTAAATGCACCAGGTAGGAATGATAATGGCGGTAGAGAATTACAGCCCCTTGTTTAATGAAAGAATATCGCACACCATCTGTTCGTGTTTTTTTGAAGTGTCCCTCAGAAAGGCTTAGCTGACACTCAATTTCTGATGCACTTGGAAACCGACAGGTTTCTTTTGTTTGAGGAGACGTCAGCAAATAATTAAAATTTTAGTCCAACAGGTTGTAAGAATGATAGAGATATTCTTTGAAATGAAAAATGGGTTTCTAATTAAATTTTCTATAAGTAAATCTTGATCTTTCACTGATAGTTTTTTGTAATCTTGATCATTAAAGGATCGTATGATTTCACAACAATCCCTGCATTCTTTGGTCTTTGAGTAGTATGATTCACTTCACATACAATAGAGACCCACATCAGAGATACTAGAATGTACTGTGTGTCCTCAGCTTTTTATCAAATTGTCTCAATCAAGTGCTTGAATAAAATTTAATTTATGGTCCTTTTTCTTTTTCAGATATACAATGAAATGATTAGAGACCTTCTGAATCCAAGTGCTGGAATTCTAGACTTACGAGAAGATGCCAAAGGTGGAGTCCAGGTGGCAGGACTGTCCGAGGTCATGGCAAGGTCAACAGATGAGGTAACTATCCTCCCTCCCCCCTCACCTTCATCATCTGCATGAGTAAAAGAACAAAGGAAAAATACAGTTTCCTCTCTGAATTGTTGTTGAACTTTGTTTGGACCTATTTTTCTTCAAGTTTCCTACAGAAATGCTAGTATGAAACATGTGTATCTTAATTTGTGTTTATTGGTTACTACTTTTTTATTTTAGGTGATAGACATGTTACTGAAGGGAAATAAAGAGAGGACACAGGAACCCACAGCAGCAAATAAGACCTCCTCACGATCTCACGCTGTCCTTCAGGTGTCCATCAAACAACAGAATCGTGTCCGCAACACCACACAGGAAGTCAGGATGGGGCGTCTCTTTATGATTGATCTGGCTGGGTCGGAGAGGGCTGCTAACACACATAATCGGGGGAAACGTATGGTAGAGGGGGCTCATATTAATAGATCCCTCCTTGCACTTGGAAACTGTATAAATGCCCTCAGTAAGCCGTTTTTCTCTTCTGCAGTGTCATAAATAAGACTTTATTTCTGTATTCTGCATGATTGTTTCAATGTAGTTGTCTTAGAAATTTTTGTTCATTGATACAAGATGTCATTTGAAAACATCATCTCTGGATTCAACAAGATTGCACAAGAAGTAAATTTTTACACCCCTTTTGAGATGGATATTCTACAATTGAACATAAGCATACATTCTAATCTAAGACTTATATACTTAAGGATGGGAGAGAATACATTTAGATCATTCAGGTGTAACCCGGAATCAATAACCTTAATTGATGTCTGTAAATTGCGTATTTTCTGAAAAGTCACTCCACTAAAAACAAATTGCTTTTAAGCTAATGAGTAAAACATTAAGTTTTAAATATTCCATAGACAATGTAATTGCTTGAATGCTGGAATGGATGTTGGTTGGCAACCACAAAGAGTATATGTGTTAAATTCCAACAATTTCTTTTTTGTTAATGAATAATTACACAGAACAATTGTGTTTGAACCAAGAAGAAGATTCATGTATTGTGAAAATTCATCCTAGTCATGGATGATAATTCAGAAATTTAAATCTTTTTTTTTCAGCTGATACAAAAGGATCTAAGTACGTGAATTATCGAGACAGTAAGCTGACGCGTCTTCTAAAGGAAGCCCTTGGAGGGAACTGTAAAACGGTCATGATTGCCCATATAAGCCCCGCCTCCCTGCATTTTGAGGAATCTAGAAATACACTTGTTTATGCCGACAGAGCAAAACATATTAAAACGAAGGTGAACAATGGCTATTTTGACTAGCTTGACCATTAAATGTATTAAATAAAAAAATATTGTTTCAAATTTTCTGAAATCTTAGAGATTTTATTCCTAGATTTGGATAAAATAAATAATCAGGATAAATTTTGTTTTGTTTTTATTTTTTTCAATATAAAAGATAAATCTGGTTTGTGTCCATATGTAAAAAAGAAAAAAAAAGAGAAGGATCAATACTTAGAAAGATTTGTTAGATCAATAAATTTAATTTTTGTTGCTCTGTATTTATAGGTGAGGAGGAATGTTACTGATGTGTCGTACCACATTGCTCAGTACACCAACATAATCCAAGAGCTTAGAGAGGAGATCCAGAGACTAAGACACAGACTCCATGACAAATCTAGTCCCAGGCCAGGGGCTAATATACTCTCTGTACAAGGTACGTAGATGAGTTTAGGCACAGACCAACAAATTGTTAGTTTAAAATGAAATGATATCCTAGCCCCGGCTTAACCCCAGGCTCAGGGCCAACACACTCTCTTTACAAGGCACAGATAAGCCAAAGTTGAGGGCCAACACACTGTTCTGTACAAGGCACAGATAAGCCAAAGTTGAGGGCCAACACACTGTTCTGTACAAGGCATAGATAAGGCAAAGTTGAGGGCCAACACACTGTCATTACAAGGAACATAGATATATATAGTACCAGGTTCAGGGGGCCAAAATACTCCCTGTATAAGGTACACACATGTAGATATGTCTATCCTAAGGATGAGGACAGGCATACTGTATCTAGATCTTCATGAGCAAGTCTAGTATTTAGCCTAAAACTCATAAACTATCCTTTTGAGATTCATCTGTAATTAAGAAAAAATTTCAGCTTATTGCTCTAGCATATATCATAAACAAGACCAAACAAAATTTGGAACAAAGTGAGGTACATACTGTACAATCTTTTTTTTTTTTTACAGCTGAAGTTGTTGAGGCAAAGAGGGAGGAACTGACCAAACTCAAGGAACAACTGCTCATATCATTCAAGGATCAGATGGAGCTCAGGTAGTGGTCACAAAAGGGTCACCATATAATATGGTCTATTCTTTCTCTGAAAATAAAGACGAAATAGTGAAAGATTAAATAGCTTGATTCTTTGGATGATGATATTTTAACAACGTACAATATACTTTTGAAATTCACAAAAAGAGGCAACAATGTAAAGCTAATTTTTACGTTTTTTTTTTATTCATTAGGAAAAGTTTAATGGAGTTGAACAATGCCTCTATGGAGGTCAGTCTGGAAACCAATAGGAACCAACTCATCATTAGCGAGTAAGTCATCTGACTTCAGTTTGAAAAGTTAATCAAAGGTCACAGTAAATAGTGCAGTGATTTGTGGGACTGTTTTTATGCAGTTTGCATGATTTCTCTGTATTTATAGGTGGGAGTTGGAGAAAGCCAGATTTTCCAGAAGAAAGGAAGGGGGAGATAAGGCAGATACAGGTAATTGTTAGTCATTTTTTAGAAGTTACATGTACATGTATTAGTGGTTCTTCATTAAGGACAGATGGGGTTTTTTTTTTTTTCAAAAAAATTATGAAAATAACAACTAAATATATATTCATATAAGTAAAATGAATGAAGTTTAACTTCATAAAGTTTCATTTTTCATTCAAAATTGTCAATAATGTCCTATAAAGTGATTAAAAAATGTATAGTTTTACAAGGATGATGGCAAAAAAGAGAAAAAAACTAGAACATCGTAGGCAGTCTACAATTTCTTAATATCTTAAGTATTTGATATATGCATCATTTACAACCAAAATACATCCAAAAATATATACCGCTCAATACATCTAATTTTTTGTTTTTAGCATGTGTCCTTTAGTCATAAAATCATTCTATGGATATTTGATATGAATAATTTTAAGGAGTTTGACATAAAATATTTTCATTTAAAATTGAAGTAATCTTCTTAATTACTGCACTACTTGTTCATAGGACCTAATTAAAACAATATTTCGTTAGTTAATTATTCAATATAATAATATTCTTAGTGATCAAATGAAGGTTGGGGAGAACTAGTGGTCTGAAATCTTAGTTCAGACAAACTGTAGAGCCACTGGTTTGCAAATTCCAGTTTAAATGTAGCCCACCCCCAACCCACCCTCATCCCCAATAAAAAAAAAATGAATGAATAAATAAATAAATACTTGAAAAAAAATCAGATCAAATAAAACACAAAGTAACACAAAAAAAGCTTAAAATGCATGAGCATTGATAGTATCATGACTGTTCCATTGTTTACAGAGGATTCTAAGGCTCTGGAGCTGGCTGGGGCAGGATCAGATGATCTTCAGGAGACGGAGGACGTGAAGCTCGCCCGGGAGGAACTCAAGGTGCTACATGACGAGAAGCATCGGACGGAGAAGTTACGAACCACAGTCATGAAGGAACTGGAACAGGCCCGAGTGAAAACCCGACGTATTGAGGAGGTATAGTGCCTTAGTGAGAAGTATTTAGTATGATTTTGAACTGACATCTTGCAGACATTATCACAGGTGCTTGAGGTTTGAGGACAAGAACCTCTACCTCCCCCCCCCCCCCCAATATATACCCCTGAGCCTTTTGGTCTTTTTTTCCTCATAAATTTTCTCACAAATTATCTTTGAATATTTGTGATATAATCTATGCCATCGATTAAAAAAATTGACTGAAACCTGAAACAAACATTTTATAAAAATTACTACCACACACTATTTTATAAATTTTTTATATATTGTTTATTTTAAGCAATTTTTTGAATTGATGGTATAGATTATGTCACAAATATGCCATTCAAAGATAATTTATGAGCAAAAAGTTGAAAAAGGCCTAGGGGTCTATATTTGGGGGAGGGGGGTGTTTCCTGTCCTCAATCACCTGTGGACATTATTTGATCTAAATGCTGGAACTATATTGAAGGAATAGATTGAAAAAGATGTTAAGTAACAAGATATGTAAAACATAAAGATGTATTATCCTATATACTTGGTTTCATTTAACTGTTTACATGGTTCAGGTTTATGTTTCATTTTCCTTTTTTGTAGACTATTCCACATAGAATCAACACAGAAGATCAGCGTGAAATCCTCAGTCTGCTGTGTAAAGTTCACGAATTAGAGATTGAAAACACAGAGACCCAATCAGCCTGTCTGTTACGGGAATTCCAAATTAAACGCAAAGATATGGTGATTTCGCGATTTCGTCAACATCAGAATCTTTGTGATCAAATTATTCGACGACAGAAGAAAATTATGGAAGGTGACTTTTTGTTTGAAAAATTGCTGAAATTAATATTCAATTTTCATTATTAGCGTGGTTTTTTTTTTTAAGTTTTAGAATTCTATTTAGCTAACTAATGAAGTATTATGCTTGCGTATTCTCAGACTTACAAAATTCAGGTATATTTTTTTTTTTAAATGTGTGTATTGATTTTTCAAATAATGCAGTGAATTGGTTATATGTTGAGGTTTTTGGCTTTTTTAAATACATGATACTTCTTAAAAGAGGCTTAATAGGAAAAAAAATGAAATTTTGTGATAAATTTGACTTGTGAAAGTAAATATTGTTTGTGGTGCAATGTGAATATTGTGATCTTGCTGGTGCTGGTGGTACATAGTGAGTTTTTATCTTGAAAGAGATTTTGAGTGCTGAGATTTGAAGCTGAAGTTCTATACTCTCATCGAGTCCTTAAAGTGATGATACCACATTTAAATGATACTTATTACAGTCCATTTTTATTTTCCATGATTTATAAGTTTTACTTCGAATTTTAAAAATTTTCACAGAAAACAAAATTGCGCCCACTCAGGATTTAGAGGAGCTGTACAACCTGTATCAGTTGGAACAGGATGATAGGATGATGCTGAGGGAGGACTCGGGACATCTCAGTCCTGAACTCAGATTAAAGGTATTATATATAGACATTATAGGATGATGCTGAGGGAGGACTCGGGACATCTCAGTCCTGAACTCAGATTAAAGGTATTATATATAGACATTATAGGATGATGCTGAGAGAGGACTCGGGCCATCTCAGTCCTGAACTCAGATTAAAGGTATTATATATAGACATTATAGGATGATGCTGAGGGAGGACTCGGGACATCTCAGTCCTGAACTCAGATTAAAGGTATCTCATATAGAGACCTCAGAATACACATGCACATACAAACACACACACATGGAATTGCATATTATCTATTCCATGTTCATGAATTGGCAAGGTACAGTTTTCCATTTGTACTGAAATTCATCAGAGACAGATTTTATATCAATGAAAAAATACTTAATAGTTAAGCTTCATTACATTTATTTTGAGTCAGTCAAGAAAAAAAGCTTCACAGGTATTTCAGTATTTGATACAGGTGCTTGCTGATTTGTTTTCAAATTTAGCACAACATTAGGTTATGTTCTTTTAGATTCAGTCATGAAATTGTGTACAGTCATTCTTTGGAATGTTTGCTACTGTTCCAAAACCACAAAAGAGGAAATATTAAAATTATTTTACTCATATGATGTATTGAACTACTTTTATCCTGTTTATTGCAGGCTTCCTCCAATTCCAGTAATTACAGGAACCTCCCTGACGAAGTGGATCAGCTGAGTACACTGACTGAGGAGGATGAGAGGGGGAACCTGCTGACCTACAGATCAGGGTCAGTAAAATGTTTGCAAAATTTACATTCTTTAGATCCTCATTCAACTCTGTGTTACAAAATCTTGCGTGTATCTAAAGAGTAACTGCCATGTAAGCAGAAATTTTAGCAGGATTTAATTTTGCCATTTTTAGCGAGGATGTCAAGATTGCTAAAATTAAATATTGCAAACAATTTATTTTGCATTATACATGTAGGTTAATACCATTATCTTTTTATGTACCATAAACTCACTAAGATTACTTCTTGCTAAAATTAAATGCCGATTTTCGAGGATAAATTGCTTAATTTGCATCTCACTAAAAATTCATTTTACCGGTATATGGTATTTAAAATGTAAGGAATAAATATTTCTATTTCAAATATTTTTATTTTGAGAAAGTAACATTCTTGAATCACAATGTATCATTATATATGTGAATGCTGAGCTGTAATGATGTAGCAGGAAGTTGAAAAATGAAGACATTTTCTTACAGTGATGGTGATGACAAACTCTTTTCAAAGAGTGCAAGAGGACTGAAGGGTGGGGCCAGCTTAACAGGTGCTTGGAGGAATGACTCTAATTTAAGTAATGGTGCAAGTGGTAGAAATAGTGATCAGAATGGTGCATTTGGAAACCCATCTCCAGACAACAGGAAAGAAATTGCTTCAAACACACGCAGCATCGCAGCACTGGCTGCTAAGAAGAGGTCAAAAGCACACAGTGACCTTTTGAACTTGGAACGACAATTCGGAGGTGAACCTCGAACACTTTATAGAAATTCAGGTGATAAGAATAATTCTGACAATGATTATCTATCTCCCTCCACCTTGGCAAGACATGACAGGAACTATGGAGAACTAGTGCTGCCCCCACTGCATAAGCCTCCCAGCGAGGACCTGGACAACATTTCTACAGGGACAAAGCAAAGTACAAACACAGACAGCACACTGCCTCCATTGAGGAATGAGAACAATTTCAGGAGAGGGGATATAAAGAGAAATAGAAGAACAAGGGGTTATGATGTAAGTTTTTGCTTAGTATTGGATGTTTTATATCCATTTCTAATTAACTGAAAATGGGGGGAAGCTAAAAAAAGTATTATAAGTGATACGCTCTGAAAGAGAATTAGAGATTTTTTCTATCAGCAGAATTTCTTTTATGTAAGACTATGTGATGTATGTAGATCAAGCACTGTATTTTAAAAAGAAAAATAATTTTTCATGATTTTCCCCCTCCTTTTCTTCTTTAAATTTGTAATATTTTGAGTTGTCTAGAGTCAAAGCTAATCAATAATTGGTTTCTTCACTAGGTATCTCAGAATAGGAGGTCCCAGTCTCTTGGAGACAATGGAAAATCAGGTAATAATAAAACAGTGTCTAAGGATGACTCTTTTGTCAGTTACAAGTCAGGTACAAAATCCCAAGCTGCTAAATCTAAAAAACCAGCAGCTACCAAATCAAAAATGTCTAAAACAATGAGTAAGTCCATGGACAATTTGAATGTTCTAAAACACAATCAACAAGAGAGCTCAATATTCAGGACTCGTCCAGAAATAGCTCCAAGTGCAAGGGATAGACTGCCAGCTTTGGAGCAGAAGTACAAAAGACAGATATCAAGTGCTCCAGAGGATCAACCAGCAAATTCTTCCCTGGAGATTCCAAGAACATCAGATACATGTAGGAGAGAAGTTGAGTTATTGAGGCAGATTTCCAGTGCCCCAGAAGGACACACAAGTGCTATAATGGAAGACCCTGATACTGTTGACAGGATAACCCCAAGGGATTTAGTTACAAGTACCCCAATTAATATTGACCCTTGCTCTTCAAGGAGGTCTTACACGCAAATGACCCCTCAGAATAAGTTTTTGCTTGGAGTGACACAAGGCATAGGAGAAGAGAACACACTGTCTTCTATTTATTCAGAGGGCACAGTCACTGATATAATGAAAACGGGGGCCAACAGACCAGTCACTCAGGGGATGAGAAGAGATCAAACATTCATTTCAAGTGGTTCAAACCTAAGCTTGACTGTTGAGAAAGCAGAGGAAAAAGATCAAGGAAAATCTAAGAAAGGCAATAGAGGTATATCTAGTAGAGGCTCAACTGTTAGATACAAGGATAGAAGACAAGTCAATTCAAAAGTGGCCGGGTTTAAGGACAAAGCTCCTGGTAAAAAGACAGTTCAACCTGCCAAATTCAAACCAAATGGAATGGTGAGAGATACCAATGACAAAAGCCCCAAAGTTGCAGAGTTTAATTCTCCAGCAGTATTATCCAGAAACAAAGAAACATCTCTGAAATCTGAAGTTGGTTCTGTTGTTACAAAGAGAGCAGGTGAGGATGAGAATTATGAAAGTCTGCCTTCAAGGGAGAACACTATTATTGCTGATGCAGATGATGATGTAGAAGTCGGGGAAGAAGCAAAGGACATTGCCAAAAAGGTTCAGGGGTCAACTCCAAGAGGTGGTGATAATGGGAAACAATGGGCACAGGCAGCTCCTCTTCCACAACCTAGAAAGAGCATTGCGAAAAAGAAGAAAGAGGGAGTTGCACAGTCTTCTGAATCAGTAATACAGAGTAATAAACATACATCTCCTTTTCCAATAGTACCGCCCATTAAAGGTACTCAAGTCAATGAGAGTATGGAAACAAGCAGTATTTTAGTTTCTGTGATAACAAATGATAGCTTAGCTTCCACAAATCTAGTAGACAGTAGTTTGCTAACAGAAAATGAATCCCTGAAAGATGATGATAAGAATACAGACATCTCAAAGGACAATGTCAAATCTAGTTTGAAGGCTAACAAAAGTGTGAAACGAAAGCCATCACAGAAGGTTAGACCATACGCAAAGGTCAACAGCTCCAAACATGTGCCACAGAAAGTGAAGAAGGCTGACAGTTTTCTAAAGATTGAAGGGAAGCCTCCAACAGGTGCTAGGCCCAGAAGTGCTCGGAATGGTCTGGTCTATACACATAGGAGTCGCCAGTCAGGGGAGAGCACTGAGACTAATACTATAGGTAGGCTGGTCTAGTGTGGAACATTAATACAGAGAGTGCAGTACTTCACAGTTCAAAGAGTGTTCCACCTGGAGCTAAGAGTGTTTCACTCTGATCAAAGAGTGTTCCACCTGGAGCTAAGAGTGTTTCACTTTGATCAAAGAGTGTTCCACCTGGAGCTAAGAGTGTTTCACTTTGAGCAAAGAGTGTTCCACCTGGAGCTAAGAGTGTTTCACTTTGAGCAAAGAGTGTTCTATTTCATGCAGAGTGTTCCCTTTGAACAGATCGAGAGTGCTGCATTTTGAACACAGGGGTGATGGGGTTAATTATTGCATAAAGACCTACTGTAGAGGCAGATGGCATTCACTTTTTGCAAGCACTTCATAAAATGTACAAGATGTACTGAAAATTTTGCACGATTTGAGATTGATTTTGGGGTGAAAAGCAACTGTAGGTAACACTTGGAAGTTACCTACACAATTGAAAAAACTTGCTGCACAGCAGTGCACACAGAAATGTACATTTAGGCATTTTGATGTGATATTTTATTTGCATGATTTAGACCAGCACAGTACAGCAGCATTAAGAAAAATTACATAAAACCAGTTTTGCATCAGTATATAATTAACAATAATCAACAGTATTAAATTACATGTATCTAATTAACTTATTGTATTTTTATTTCTTTCATAAGAATGAAGAGATTAAGTTAAAAAGAATGAAAATATCAAATATATATTTCAAATAGACTATGTAGAATCTGATTGCTCTGAAATATGAAGAACATGTATTTTAGAACTCTGTCCATTAATGGAAAATATAAATAAAATATAATATAATAAAATATAATTTTGCAGGTGACAGTAGGGAATGGACGCCCCCTGGTGTTACAAAAAGAGGCGGCAAAACCAAACGCTTCAATAACAGAGGTGAGATTTTAAAAAAAATTTAAACCATGCTTATTTCCTTCAATATGCATGAAATATAAATCCAGAAAAGCATCATATATCATATTGAACCAATTTCAACTGGTATTAAAATATAGCATCTATGGGCAAAGGGGAATGAAAATTGTGAATTTTGTGGTCTCTGCCCCTCTAGGGCTGAAAAGGGGGGCCAAAACCTTCAAAATTAATGCAATTTTCAATAAAAATGTTCTTTACTCCTGGACATCAAGCAGTCAAATTGTTGACATTATTATAATAAGCATAGTCCCTGGGTCAGAGGTCTGGGGCTAGAGTGGGCTCTGTGATGATTATGTGAGGAAATAAGAGTTTTGCGTTTATTATTCATGTATGATAATTAATCACAGTAAATAATGTAGCTGATAGGTATAAGGAAAAAAAGAATTTTGCACGAATGTTTAATGTATAATATTAAAGGTACTTTTATAGTTCTGTGGTCAAATAGATTTTGAAATAATAGATGAATAAAAATGGAACAAAAATACCTTATATTTGTATATTGAATGATATTCAAAGATCAAGAGAGCCCAATAGTATGGGGATTCTGCTGGGCTTCCTTCTTGTTGAATAAGTGTGTTTTAATTTATAGAACAATTATTGCAAGTAAATTGATCCACTTTCTGAGTTTTTGCTGATTACCAAACTAACTATTTTGTTGATCCCTGATGATACTATTACTCTCGTTTAGAGCAACATATCTTCATCTATCAATTTGTTTCACAAATTTCCATTGATCCTTTACAGTGTTGTATTATACTCAGGTGAGCATTAAGGCCCTTGGACCTCATGTTAATACAGTCTTTCCTTTCTCAACAATTGTTGCACCTATTTTAAGAGCTTTGTATTTTATATATTTCAGGGTCAAATGAACATAATGGCAACACAAATAACAGGAAAAAGGCTCCCACAATTCCATCCTACAAGAAGGGGGACATAACTGTGATGGGATTCAGCCTGCCTCGATAGATTTTTGTTCCTCCATAGCTATAGATTAACTTGTCTTTGTCTATGTGAACATGATCTTGCCACTTTATTCTTCTAATAAGTCGCTCCAGTGTCTTATTGTCATTTAATGAGAATTTAAAGTGTGCTTTATTTATATTCCCTTTGTAGCTGTTTGTGAGTCATGGTACTAAATGTTACAAAAGGTGGCGATTTTGCTGGGGAAAATTTAACAATTTTTATACCCTTTAATAGGAACTGCAGACCATCCATATTTATTTATCTTGAGTAGTCATGATAATGCATTTGGAAAAAAAGGGAAACACATACACGTACGTCCTCCACGAAAATACACATTGGCACTGTAAGTAATTTGATTTAAGAGAAAATTCATTTTTTTCCTTAGATATTTTTTATCTCTAAGGAAAGTTTTTTATCTGATTGCTTGTGAAACATTTTTTTTCTGTATGAATGTCTTAATTGTGTGAGAAATGAACTGCATGAAATATTGTGCCAATCAATTGAAAGACTCCTTTATTTTCATGTGAAAATTCTTTCTAAATTCTTGATACCATAAAGTATATTTTATATGGGCATATAAAATCTAAATACTTTAGGAATTTAGACTATGTATAAAAAACTTTGCTTGACTAAAATAGATAAAAACATTTTATTGCAAAGATTTGGATAGTGAATTGACTATTACAGCAAAATTATATTTTTGTCTCTATTACATTTAATACAAAACAATAAAGTATTGCACAAATCACAGGTGTAATAATGTAATATACATGTATACAAACACTATTCAGCCTTTGAGGATTATTGTAACTGTAACTGTGTTGTTTTTATTTTACTCTGGGTAAATTTTTGATCTTGCCATAAGAGAGTCTGTGATATGAGAACTGCTGATACACATCTTTGATTTATGTGTAATAACTGTGTACCCAGGTTGTTGTATGAAAGGGGTGTTTGTGTCATTATTTTTTCTTGGTCATGGAAGACCATATTCTGTTCAACAAATATAAAACATGGGATCATAAATTCCAAGGATTATAATTTATTTTAATGTCATAAATGGAACTTTGTGTCCTTATTCATTTGTTAACTTTTTTTTTTTTAAATGTACTTATATTTGGATACTATTGTAATGAAAATACAGTGAAACCTTGTTATCTTGAACTTGATGGGTCCAAAAATAAAGTTTGAAATATCTGAAGATTCAAGATATGACGTTAAAGTACACAAGAAAAAAAGTGGTTGGTACAATGTACTTCCAACTCGCTTTGATATATCCATGGTATTCAAGATATCAATGTTTGGTGTACTGAAGTTCTCTAACTATGTGCTTGGTTTCTTTGATATTTTCTTTTATTTTTTTTAAAAGCCCAAAATACTAGAGCTACTGTCCAGGCATTGTAACTCCTGTTAAACTATAATTTTTTGCATCTATTTGTTGTTATTTATTGTTGTTTGTTTTTTTAGAAACTTTTTTTTCATTAATTGTTAATCTGTTACTATTTGTTTGGGGGTTTTTTTTTGTGCTTGAGTGAAATCATGCAATAATATTTTTACATGTGATGTTACTGAAAGTTGTTCAGTATATGGTAGGAATTGTAAATGCAATGTAAATATTTTACATTATAGATAAGTCTGCTGATACTGAAAAGTGACCTTGAACTACATTTTTAAAATTTTATTAAAATTGTTTGACATGAGCTTGGCTTTCTGAAGCGTGCACTTTGTAATTTCCAGACCATGCACCAAAGTAGTACCTAAAAAAGAGGTACGCCACACCAAAATTTTATTTACTGGATCTTTTAAACAACTCTTTTGTAAGATGAATTCAGTAATGATAGACCACAATAAGCTTTTATAAATTATTTTAAATTATTTTTTTTTTCATATTTTTTTCAACATTGTTTAGATTGAAAATGAACCACTTTACAGCTCAGAATAATATAAATAACCCTTATAAACACGTCAAGAAGAGTCAGACATTCAAATATTTATTTTAAAAAAAAATTATTTATTATTAGATAATTATTTATATTATACATAAACTAACTGCAAATTTTGAGTTCTTATGTGTCTTATTTGCAGCCAAAACCATTTTCACATTTTTTCTGAAAAAAATATACCAAAAATAAATTATATAAAATCAGAGCTGATGTTGGTCAAAGCTGAAATCATATTTCCAAAGAGATGTGTTATAGATCCAGTATATGACATTTTGGCAAGGCATACCTCCTTAATTGTCAGTTAAATGATTTAATTTCAAATTTTAGACATAGGTGGTAGACATTTTTTTAACCTGTGAATCAAATATCAGTAAATTATGCTGCATAGTTCAAGGACTAAGAATAGAATTCTAAATTTTTATTCATTTTTTGGGGGGAGGGGGTATTACTTAGTCAACTACATTTATGTTTCAATAGAATAAATTGTTATTGCATGCATTGTAATAAATATGATGAAATAAATTTATTTATTTGATAATTGGTTTTTTTTTTATTACATTGTCGTCTGCTTTTGTTAATGCATGAAGACATTAAATCTCATTCTTCATTTGTCTGTCTGAATGTCAATCACAAAAACTTTAACCTTGGTTATATTTGAAGGAGAGAAGAGAGGGCTTTCATATAAAACTGCATTAGGCCATCTCTAAAAAATTGTTTGGTTGCCCTCTTCCGACCGACTGGGTAAAAATGACCCGACTCTAGGAAGCAATTATTTTTTTATGCATTCATGAAATTATATTTTGAAAATTCAGCATTGATGTTGAAATTTTCTAGAAAAAAAATTCCACGCCTACTTATCGACCAAAATTTTTCATCCTGGGTCGAGAGAGGGCAAGCAGACATTATTTTAAAGTTGGCCTTATGTAGACACAACCTTTACAAATGTTTTATGATTTTTGACCTCTGACGAGACAGGGCTCTCATGTTTTACATGTACATAACCTATGACAAGACTTATTCCGAATATACTATGATTTTTGACATCCCACTTCGACCTTTGCATAATAGGCAGACAAGTTAATTGCACCTAACCAATATACCCTCGAAAGCTGAGGACCACAATTCTCTGCGTTTGCTTGTCTATTTTGGAAGGAGCTGGTGAATCTAGGAATGATTCAGAAGCTCAATCTTTCTGCTTTATGAGAGCAATTAACATTTTATGCTCACCTGAGCTGAAAGCTCATGAGCTTTTCTGATCACAATTTGTCTGTAGTCCATCTGTCTGTAAACTTTTCACATTTTCGACTTCTTCTCCAGAACCACCGAGCCAATTTCAACCAAAATTGACACAAAGCAACCTTGGGTGAAGGGGATTCAAGTTTGTTCAAATGAAGGGCCCCTCCCTCATTCAAGGGGAGATAATTAAGAAATGGTGGAAATTTGGTGTCATATTTAAAAAATCTTTTTTTCAAGAACCACTGGCCCCAAAAAAGTTGAAACTTATAGGAAACCTTTGTTACATAATGTAGATTTAAATTTGTTCAAATCATGACCCCTGGGGGTAGGGTAGGGCCACAATGGGGGATCAAAGTTTTACATAGGAATATACAGGGAAAAATCTTTTTCTCAGGAACAGCAAAGCCATGTTTAGTCATATTGATATGGAAGCATCCTCAGGTAGTGTAGATTCAAGTTTGTTAAAATGCTGACCCCCGAGAGTAGGGAGCTTGAGGGGCCACAATGGCGTATCTGATTTTTACAAAGGAATGTAAAGGAACAAATCTTTAGAAATCTTCTGGTCAATAACAATTGGTATGGAAGCATCAGGTAGTTTAAAATTCAACCCCCCCCCCCATGTTAACTTTTCAATACTGAACTGATTTGTGCTTTTTCCTAGCCAATGTGCTCAGGTGATCGATATGGGCCTCTTGTATTGAAGAAGACAAAACAATTACGTCATTCCCATAAAAGTAACCCAAGGACAAAAAATTTAAACAGGCTTAAACATTTACATGTATATATATATTTTTAAAAAGTTTGGATTTAATTACCTGAAAGATTCTTTCTTCATGTATTTGATATTTTGTAGGAGGTAGGGGGGTACACAATGTATTTTTTTTATAATCCATCTCAGCAAACATTATACCATTTTGTTCTCTGGAATTATTTCTGACCGACTATTGTGATTACTTGATCTTTGAAATATGCTCGTGTCTATTTTTACTTATTAGCTCACCTGTACTGAAGGCTTGAGTAAACTTTTCTTGGACAAGTTTTATCTATTGCTATTGTTATGTCTGAATAAAGAAGGAAAATAAATGTAATAAAAGTTCGAAGAGTCTTTTCCTCTAAAGAACAAAAAGTCTAAAATTTGATGTACATGTCCCCCGACTGTGTAACGGGTAAATGTTGCCAGTTTGAAGGTAAGGCCACAGGACTTCATAATAGTAAAAAAAAATATTGAAATCTTAAGCCTCGTTAATATTGTCAAATTAATAAGTTTGTTCTATAAATTCTGTAGAATCAACTCGCAACTTGATTGGCTAATATCGCAATTATTAAGTGATTTGATTAAGGATTCCCTTCTCAGCCAGGAACGATAACTCTTAAAATCATTATTTAATTAAAAAGTATCAAAATGAAGCTTAATTGAAATTGAAATCTTTTCGTGTAAAAATTTCACTTCTTGCATCTCAACATGACTCAGATTCTTTGAAGTCTTATAAACGGCCATGTGAAAAGTTGACATTTGTATCCCACCGAAGAATAAAAATAAAAAGATTTTAGAGATATCGAATTTCCTGTAACTTAGCCTTAGATACCAATGCTTATATTAGCATGTGATAAGAAATGATCTGTGATGTCTTGCAACGATAGCACAAGCTTTTTACACTATATATTATATAACAATTGACATAAAAAAGAACTAAAATAATTATTACAAGAGGCTCATGGGCGACAACGCTCACCTGAGTAACTAATGGCCCTTCTTGTTCTTCATCAACAGTGGCCCCACTCTACCCCCAGGGTCATGATTTGAACAGACTTGAATATACACTGCCGGTGGATGCTTAGACATAAATATGACTGATCATGGCTTTGTTGTTCTTCATCAGAAGATTTCTCCTATGTATTCCTATGGAAAACGTTTACCTCATTGTTGCCCCACCCTAACCCCAGGTGGTCATAATTTGAACAAATTAGAATCTAAACTATCTGAGGATACTTCCATATTAATATGATTAATAATGGCTTTCCTATTCTTGAGAAGAATATTTCTAAAGATTCTTCCTATTTATATCCAGGTAAAACTTTAGTCGCCCATAGTTGCCCCACCTTACCCCCGGGTGTTACGATTTGAACAAATTTGAGTCTTACACTATCTGAGGATACTTCCATATAAATATGACTGATCATGGCTTTGCCGTTCTTGAGAAGGAGATTTTTAAAGATTTATCCTATTCACACCATGTAAAATGTTGATCGCCCATAGTGGTCCCACCCAACCACCGAATGTCATGATTTGAACAAATTTGAATTAACACTATGAGAGGAAGCTTTCACATAAATTTCATCTTTTCTGGCCCAGAGGTTCTTGAGAAGATTTTAAAATGACCCCACCCCAAAATTTTACTTTTTTCTTAATTATCCCCCCTTGGGAGAGGGTGTGGCCCTTCATTAAAAAAAAATTGAACCCCCTTCACCCAAAGATACTCTGTGCCAAGTTTGGTTGAAAATGGCCCAGTGGTTCTGGCGAAGAAGACGATATTGTAAAAAGTTAACGATGACGACTACGACGACGACAGATAACGGACAAATTTTGATCAGAAAAGCTCACTCGAGCCTTCGGCTCAGGTGAGCTAAAACATGCAATTTTCTCGAAATGCCTGGATACCTATGCTCCCCCCCCCCCCCCCCCAATATATATACACATGTTTGTCGATTTTCAATCTACTCTCTAAATTATTCAATGCATAGCTAGTGTTTTTAATCGCGGTTCCTAAAAATATATTTGAGATTTGATCATTTCCCTTTATAATGTGCTTAATTCTAATTATGAACTTTGAAGAAATACCACGGGTAAATACACTTACGTGTACCTTAATTTGACAATAAGATAAATGTGAATCAGGGAGCTCGTTAACATAGGCGTTTACGGGTGTTTTGTTTTTGTTTGTTTTGTTTTTGTTGAGTTTCTATCGTAGCATAAGAGGGGCAAAAGAGAATGGTTCGTCCGCCAAATGTTATGTAGAACATTCCTTGCATGCTACTGTGTTATACAAATGCATAATTTACCTGAAATGAAATTGAGAGCTCAATTTTTACCAAAATAGGTCAAAATGAATTAAACGTCATTAATTTACTGTTGCAATTTATGTGTAACAAAGTTCTTTATTTGACTGTCTCTGTTTAAACGGTCTAATCGTAAAAACTCTTAACATTCGATATTATCTTGAAATAATAGCCCTTTAAAACAGAGAACTTTACAATATCTACAGATTCAGTCACAAAAAATTATTTGCTTTGGCCTAAAAGAATTTGTCTTACAACAAATGCTTCTTTAATTAAGTTTCCTGAATGCACGAGATAAGAATTTTATTTATGCCAAAGTTCTGATTTGATAAAGAACTACAAAAAAGCTTATTAGATTAAAGGTCCTAAAACCATTGTTCTCTCCTCCAACAAACAACAGACAGACCCTGAAAACGGATCGCCGCAGACCGAAACATATATGTCCAAGTAGATAGAGTACCGTGAATAGAAAAGGAAATTTTATCCCGTGTTCATTGGGGGACGCATTGAACTTTGCACATCGAGGACAGAATTTGGTAATGCATAAAAACAAAAGAAGGTTTAAGCGTTAAAATATAACCAAGAGATCATTGTCCGATGAGGTCCTTATGATAAATAGAAGCATCTTCATGGCACGCTAATTTTTGGTAAACAAATTCTTCACTAAAAGACGTTCTAACACAAGGTCATTTTATTAAATGGTGCAACTAGAAGTTGGTGTGAACTTAATCATTTGAGTATTACCAATTTGTACATATGAACCGAATGCTTAGAATTGGGATAAACAGGTTTGGTCTTTGACACGATATAAATAAGTATTTTGATATACTGGAATGCCATTGACGAGAATTGCGTGCACAATGCCATGACTTACAATATAAATAAGGTTTTCGATCAAAAATCATACAGAAATCTGAATTTAAAATCTTGCAATCTCACAAACAGCTTCAAAAGTAGACATACATTCGGTAGAATTTTTAAAAAGCTCACATAGACGGTCATTTAATATCTAAATTTCAATTAAAGTTTAGAAATCAACAACTCCCTGATCAGTGAAATTGACAATTTCCGGACTCTTGCAAACAGATAGTCTTCGCTAACCAGCTGCTATTGATATCAAAGTCAATGAAGAAAGCAACAAGCCATCATCGGTAAGAAATCACTTAAGGTAGTGGGTAATTATACCTGATCAAGGATGTATACTTTATTTTCTATCATCTGAAACCGCTACATCGATTGGGCATGACATGCAAAATTCATATATTGACAACATAGCAAAACAATTCGAAAAAGAGGTTATAACGATGTCCATTAATTGCCAAAAATTCTATTGTTTGCCAAAAGGTTCTGATTGTAAACTGCCATCATATTGATTTTCTGTTCTAATGTTAGTGTATATATTTGCTAACTAGATTGTCAATGTTCATATTTAACAGAACAACTGACTATACAACATTATAAAGTGTTAATCAATATACATGTACATACATATATAAAATTTTTTTCTGTTAAAAATATTCACCAACAGGTATATTATATAAAACATGTAAAACATAATATATTGATATTATAACTGTGATGTGCCTATTCGTCTTCAAAATCCCCCATTACTGCCTTAAATTCTTTACTACAATTGAAATGAAAATTTGATGCGTTTTTGAAGACCACTGGATTTCGTCTGGTCGCAGAAGCTGGAATTGGTGAAAGAAGGCGTGGTATATGTCTCTCCCAATTTCCATTCGTGCGATCTGAAGTCTGTTTTTCCTCTTTCGAGTCCCCATGCTCTTCATTTTGATTAAGTGAAAGTGAGTCAATGCTTTCGAAACTTCCGTGCTTCTTTAATATAGATCTTGGAGTCCTAGACTGATCCTCGCGTGATGTTAATGTGTGTTTCAGTGCAGGAAGAAGAACGGGTCTTTGGTTCTTTGGAAAGAGATTGAATTCTACTTTACGAAACTTTGATTTTTTGTGATTTTTGGCATGGTTAGAGTTTTTGAGAGTAGACGCATTGCTACTCACAGATCCTTGTGTTAGAGTACTAGCTAAGCTAACCGTGTCTTCTTCCGGTCGATGTATGGCGGGTAAAATCACACGACCATGGCCACGATTTTGTTGCGTAGCATCATTTCGGTGGTGGTGCTGCTGCTGTTGCTGATGGTTGTGGTGTGGCTCCAAGTGTTTGTGCCTGTCGTGTGGCTCCAAATGTTTGTGCTTTTCATGGTCAATATGACCATTATAACGTTCCACAATCTCTTTCGAGTTGATAGAACTGTCCCTTGAAGAAGATTTTATATTTTTTGAATGCTTATGATGGTGGAGTTGAGGAGACTCCATGGCCGCAACCTTTTTCTTCGCTTTTCTTGTGGTCTCCTCCAAGAATCCATGAAGAGAGGCCACAAATTCACTATTTTCTGCATATCTTTCCTTGATTTCTTCTATCTCATGAATATTTTGCATCCAAAAAGAATCATCTATATCATATCTTGAGAATGAGAATGGACGGCTTACAGTAGATGTGGTACTTGTTTCGGAGGGTGCTCGGTCTCTTTTTACACGAGGAAGTTTGGTGGTGGTTGATGATGATGTTGTGGACAAAGGTTTATCTGACATTTGCGAACCACCCAAATCACGCGCACGGATTACCTTAATTGGAGAATGACTTTCATGCGAGCGAGTGTCAGTCTCCGAATTTACCCGAGAGCGTGGCTTCCTTCCATCATTTTCACCACCTCTGAAAATCTTTGGTGATGGAGTTTCGTCACCAAAGTGCGATTTTTTCCCAAGAACATTAAACTGATCCAATTTGTGTTCATAAGGCACTGAGAGCACAGTAGTATTTAGACGCTTTCTGATATTCGCATACGTGGAATCATTAGGATCCCCTGACTTATTATGGTTTCTCACAATCTCGCGCTTTGAATATCTTGGGTAACTAGGCAACACATCGAATTGAGAATGACGATCCATTGCGAGCTGTAATCACTGTCACTGTTGTGTATGCCTGATATATATATGTCACATCCTTATTAGTTTCCATAAAAAACTTGTACAGGTACACTTTTTCATTATCTGATTCATCAATGGCAAGGCACGCTCTGGTGAAGCATATTTAAGATGTGTGTAACAATCTTGCAATCAATGTACTTTTTTTTTCGAAGCTAATTCCAGTCTTCAGCGCATTGGTTCATTCGTATTAATCCAGTAATAATACATATGTATATATTCTATATATCCGGGTGTAAGCTATATATCCGAACATGCCCCGTTTTAAAGCATCTCACTATCCCTTCTCCATCAATGAATATTATCTATTTTTTTCACTTTCCCCACAAATTTTTGTTGATTACGCTGTCTCAATAAAAACGCCTTTAATATCCATTAGCAAGTAAATAATTGCTGCTATGCTTCATTTAGATGTGAAAAGAATTTAACAATCTGATTAAACTTACTGCTCATACGAAACGACAGAATAGAACAGATGACCCGGGACAAATAAGACAGAAATATTGATACACAGAATTAGGCTACGCCTAGTCAATTTGAGATCTTTAAAGGAAGAAAACGTATCGCCGAAACTATTGAACGTTTTATATATGCAAAAGATAATTCATACAAATAAATAGTTTTTTCAATTTAAAAGGTTCAATTTCCGACCCTTGAGTACAAGATCATGTCTCAGAAAATTTGACAAAGTTACTCAGATCGAATGAAAATTTTAATAAAGCAGGAAAACAAAGCAATTTTATGGATCAGTCACTCAGTTGCATGAAAGGTTTAATGTCTTTGTTTTCGCAAGAAAGAGAATTCGTGGTGACATTCAGTTTAAGATCTTGATTTGTATAGGTAAATACATGGACAAATGTTGACTAATGTAACGTGATAAGAAACGCGCATGTCGAAAGTTAACAGAAACTTAGTCTGCCAATTACTACACATGCTTTTTATTAATAATTAGAATTACTAGATTAATTGGATTAAGAGATTATCTAAGGGCCAAAAATGTACTCGAGAATTAAAATACGTAAAAACAAAGTTCGATACTCAGAGTAACATAGTTGAAGCAATCGTGGGCCAAATGAAATATAGAAAACGTTTAATAGCATTTAATATTGCTGGACCGTAGGAGCGAGGGGGGGGGGGTTAAGTTTGCGAATACGTATACAAAATGTATATACTATACAAAGAGAACAGAGCTAATTTACAGTAGTTCCCCCTTAATAATAACGTCTGATGACCCTTTTTTCTTGTCAAAAGAGTTCTGTAACCCCCCCCCCCCCAACTGAAATTGCTTCTTATGATCTCAGGGAACGTTCCGAATGGAGAATATTATAAACAACAAGTGTTTTTCCCCCTGCCCTACATGACCTCTAAACAGCTAAATAGTAGTCTGATATAGAATTCTATCGTGGTATCCTTGAAAAAAAGTCGATCCTTTACTACCAGATGCTGATTTGTACCATAATTAAACACCTGTTTATAATAAACAAGTCCCTACGCACGGATTGGGTATAATAATTTTGTTCCTTGGTGTTATTAGATGTATTATTGCCTCTGCTGGCCGATGATTGTCTCATGAACTTAGCTGCCAAGTACAAATATTGACTTTCTTCGAAACTTAGTGTGCACCTAGGCTTTCATTAGCCAAAGATGTCTGCATGGACTGCCAACAGTAATTATGCATGCATTTAGTTGCAGTGTCTTATTAGCATTTATTTTTTATCTTTGTCTACAAAAAATATTGACTCAAAAAAACCCAAACAAAAATACATCTTTGGAAACACAAATTTTGAGACAATATTTTCATAGATTTTTTTCCCAAAAGCCAACTTGCACTTCCTTAAACAAGCAAAGAAGTATTAACAACCATTAGTCTATTCCCAATAACCTATAACTGGATGGCACATGTTGATGAGTAACGATGTGAAAATTTTGAACTACCTTTAAATAATAGTCAACAACTCTCACTTACTTTCAGTACTGGCCCAAGGATCATGAAGCAGTATTAGACTTAAGTCAAAGGAGATGGGCGAACAAGATGTGCAAAATGCCTATAGCTTCAAATGAATGTCATATTCATCTTGTGAATTTAAATTCTTTTTATTGAAAGTATGAAATAATGCTAAACAAAACTTTTTTGGCAAAAATCATTCTATGATTATGTAACAAAAAGCCGTATATTTGGGATTCGAACCCAAGCAATAAGAATCCCGAGTCTCAATTATTTCTTCGAGACCAACACGCTAACCACTATGCTATACTGCTCATAACCAATATCAGAATTCAAGTTATGTTTGTGATATGTCCCTTGACTAAATGGACTTCAAATCTTCCTCGGAAAGATACCATAAGTGTATTCATAATGTATAATGGGACTTTGCTCCATGTTTTGTTAACCGAAGAATGTGTATTTTTCCATACTTTTGAGTATAATCTTTCAAAAAATGAAGCAGAGACCAACGCATGCGGAAAATTTGTGTGTAGTACGATGTCATCATTTTTTCCCTCTTTGTTGTATGTGTGTGCTTTTTCATGGACAAATAATTTGAAGATTGTTGAAAATTGTGGATATTTTACTTAAAGTATACGTTAATGTTATTAATGCAATATCAAATAAAATTTTGACAAGTTCACTTTCTTATTTGTCGCACAATAGGCATTTTGCTCGCTCGCCCATCTTCTTTGTAAATTGTCTTGAATTTTTACTCTCGTCTAGAAACTACGTAAAATTTGAAATGTTGTTAAATATTGTCTCCTTATCATGCTGTTAATTTTAAATTTCAAAAATCAATTTATTGTAAATCTTCATTTTATGAAATTTTCACTTAGGTCTATGGCTGCTTCATAGTCTTCAATACACATTACTCTGTCTACATTTTATCTTATAACTATTTCATGTTTTAGCTATATATACTAATGAGAAACGCAAAACTATAAATTATTCTGTGTTTATTTACTTTAATAGTATGTACAAAATAGTATACACAAAATTAAACTGGAATAGTAATTGATCACTTGATTTACAAATCAAATAAAAGATAGTTTTAAGTCATTCAGACTAATAGAAAAAAATAAATATGAGATATTGCTTGAACACTTTTAAAATTCTAAAAGCTTAAAAGATGGAAAGTACAACAATTCTTTTTTTTAATTTGAAACCGTTTAGTACTTTTAAAACAAAACTGACAGCTTCTTAAAGCAGATGCACTTTTATCTACAAATCAAATTACTCCATGATTTATTAAACACACAAAAAAGCATTTTGTCACTTTTCTTCCAAGAAACTGTGACATAAAAATATTTATCAATTTTTATAACTTTTGTATCACTTTGTAATACTGTATAGTAATGTCCTAGCTTCTCAAATTTCTACTTCATCCTCATTCATCACACTCACCCATACATTAAATTGCACAACTTAGTTGGAAGGATACAGATATATTATAACTTGAACACATGAATCAACCTTTTCCTATCTTGAGAGTTTTTAAAGAGCTGCTACTAGCATCATCTCCTTTTTTGATAACCTAGGCAACATGGCTGAAAAGTGAATTAAACCAGGTTTACTAGTACCTGCACAAATCATGAAAATGCCCTTGTTGATGTGATTGGATATTTACATAAAATAGCTTCCATCACAAAATAGTCAGATATAAGTATTGTTCTTTGTTATGTTATGAAGACTCATCACCATCATCCTGTTTTTTATGCTTTTTCTTATGCTTCTTTTTGTTCTTTTTATGCTTCTTATGCTTGTTCTTCTTCTTTTTATGCTTCTTCTCCTTCTCCTCTCCTGAGCTCTCTTCCTCACTTTCACTCTCCACTTTTTCACTCTCTGCTGTGGAGTACTGTCTTTTCACCTCCGGCTTTGGCACCTCCTCTTCATCCTCACTTCCCAAGGCTTCATTATAATCCGGCTCAAATGTGGATTCATCCATCACAGACTCCTTTCTGTCATGTCTTAGTGATGGTTTCACTTTGTCTTTCACATCCTCTGACACTTCCTCCTTTGCTGTTTTTTTACTACTCACTTCTTTCTTTTCTGTGACCTCAGCACCCTCTTTCTGGGAACTTTTATCCTCATTCTTTTTCTTGTCCTCCATCTTCCCTTTCTCCTCCTTCCTCTCCTGAGATTTAGAATTCTTCTTTGCACCTTTATCCTCTTTTTCCTCCTCTTTCTTAGCCCTTTTTGGAGATTCCTTCTCTCTAGATTTCCTTCTACTTTTTTCCATAGTCTTTTCCTTTGAAACAGATCTTTTTTCTTCACCATTGTCCTTACCACTTGGCCTAGAATTTGATGACTTGGAATAACCTTTTGACTTGTTAGTTATCCAACCATCATTACTCTTGTCATCTTCTACAAAATCCCAATCCTTTTCACGGGAGTAATTCACAGAAATCCTGTCATCATGACTGAATCCCTTTCCTCTGGGTTGATCCCATTCCTCTGTTGATGAGCTCCTTACTGAAGCCCTTCGCTTTTCCATTAGGGATTCCCTTAAGTCTTTAATCTCACTCTTTGAGTCCTTGGACTTTTTCTTTGACTTAACATCCCCTGAGACAGTGATTTGCATAGACCTATCACGACTCAATACTTTCCTGCTATCCTCTTCAACCTTTTTGTTGGACTGGCTCTCCATGAAAACTCTGCGAGATTTCCCCTCTGGTGACCTCAGCCTGGAGGGAGGGGATTTCATTCTGTGGGGAGGAGATTTCTCCAATCGACTAGCAAGGCTGGATGAGGGCTTAATGGATGATGCTACTGAGATAGGCTGAGGTTGTTTCTGGCTGAAAGCTTTCTCTGCTTTTTCTATGACTGACCTACAATACATGCAAATTAAAACAACTTTAATATATCTGAGCATAAAATTTGTATATCTCCTTTAGAATCTTTATGAAAATATTTTCATTTTTAATTACATAAATGGATGGTTTAATATCTTAACGTCATGTTTCTAATATTTCTTAATCAATTGTGTATAGTTTAAACACAAGTACAGTCAAGCCTTGCTAACCCAAACACCAATAATTCAGATGCTAAACTTCCAGGGAACAGAATATCAATTATAAAAGGTATGTTGAAGTAGTTTGAATACCGGTACTTCATTTATCCGGACAGTTTGCTTGGAACACAAGTGTCTGGATTAATGGGGCTTGAGAGACTATATAATGAGAATGTACTCTTAAGTAAACAAAAATTTAATGATAAATGACCCTGCAAAAAAATGTATTCTATACATGTTGATATTCAATGTAAAAATGTCTGCAGAGCAAAAAAAGAAGAAAAAAATTAAAATAAAAAATTGAAGAATAGCCACCATGAAAAGATTGAAGCATTTCCTCATCAGCAGGATATACAGATCAGATTACAAATGAATAACAAATGCCTGACATTCTTATGCACAAGAAAACCTTTTCAACTTCCAATATATCACGACTTTAAATGTCACTGTAATTCATTCTGGGTGATAATATGAAAATTGATGCAAAAAAAAAAAAGATAGAAAAAAAGAGACAAATTGAGCAAGTAACCTTTCAAAAAGTAAGTCTCCGACCGAGTTCGAAGAATCTAGAAAGAGAAAAGATTCAACATTTCATTTTCATAAGTGCATTTTTCTTTACTGTTGATAACCTATTATACTGGACATCCATGTAAAAATTAATTTACCCGACATGCACTGATATCTCCCAATGTACTTGTTCTACTTATTACTACAGTAATCCTTCCCTATTCTGAATTTAAGTTGGATCTACCATGAGTCTGTATCATCTTATAAGTTTACACCATTTATCTAATCACTCGTCTCTTGAAAATCCAAGAACTTTGCAAATCACTTTACAATTGAATTGTTTTAGTACTGAACAGACCAACTGACCAATCAGCTAGTACCTCAAAGAGGGATATATATATAATTTTAATATAAGCAGGAGGCCAATGGGCCATAATGGTCACCCAAGTAACCATGGCCCTTCTGACTGTTAATCTGATTGTCTGCAAAAACTTTAACCTTACTCATATAACTTTTGAATGTTTTGTGCTAGGGTTTTCATACTTCATGTGTATTCCTTGTGACAAGACCTTTCTTTAGATACCAATACTTTTGACTTCTTGACCTTGGAGTTTGACTTACTTTTGCACAATTTTACCAGACTTTGTTCTGGCCAAATCTTTTGAACAGTTGGTGCTAGGGGTTTTATATTTCACACATGTATTGCTTTTGAAAAGACCTTTTCTTGGGTACCGACCTTTGAATTTAACCTACATTTGTAAAACTTTTAACCTTGCCTACAGCTTTTGAGGGGTTGGTGCTATAGCTTTAATATTTCACCTTTGGATTTTGAGACCTTTCCTTTTGTACCAATATTTTTTACCTAATGATCTCAACTTTGGACCATTTTTTCTGATTGGTTGGTGCTAGGGCTTTCATATTTAACGTGTGTATTCCTTGTATCAAAACCTTTGACTTTTATCCACATTTTTGAACTCTTGACCTTGGACTTTGACCTACATTTGAAACCTTGGCCTTTAGCTGCCATACAGGGGCATCAGTGTTTCACAAACACATCTTGGTTTTATGTATTTAAATGTGTTAAACTACAATCCCCTATAAAGACCCAACCCTTCCCTTAGGGAACCATAATTTGAACAAATTTGAAATTTACACTCATTAAGGAAGCTTACAAATAATTTTTTTTTCCCGGTTCAGTGGTTCTTTAGAAACTATTTTTAAAAATGCTATCAAATTTTCGATATTCCTTAAAGTATCTTCCTTGAAATAACCCTTTTTAGAATAAATTTGAATCACTTCCACTTATGGATGCTGTTGCAAATTTGGTTGAAATTGGGCAAAGGGTTCTGGAAAAGATGTTCAAAGTGTAAAAAGTTTGCAAAAACATGACAGATGGACAGCGACTCTCTTTGATTTTGGCCAAGGTTTAAAGTTGGATAAAATTTTCTAAAAGTGGGTCAAATGTACTCCAAAGTCAAGGTCAAATATGTTGGTACCCAAAGAAAGGTCATCACAAGGAATACACATGAAATATGAAAGCCCTAGCTCCAACCAATCAAAAGTTATGGGCAAGGTTAAAGTTTTTGCACGTAAACAGATGGATATACAGAACAAAAACTATATGCCTCCAAATCTTTGATTACAGGGACATAGAGAGTAATGCTTCTGTCAAATAAACTATAGACTGTATCAAATTTAAGGAAACTCCCTGAATAATAGAAAATTTTACTTTCATCACCTACCTGTAAAACAGTATCGTATTTACCCAGTTCTTAAATTTTTTTTTCTAGAATTAACTAGAATTGTAATTCAATTACCATTCAAGCTTGTTTTATTAGAAAAAAGGACCAGAATTTTACAGGGAATGTAAACTTCATAGAGTCCTGGTTTATAATTTTATCAGAATCTACTTCACGAAGACATGTTAAGCTAAAGTTTCCAACTTTTCTACATAGCCAGAAAAATAATTCATCCCAAGAGTCATCCTTTTTCAAAAACTTTGCAACTGGAAATTTTACTTCTTTGTCAAAGGAAGTTTCTGGACAGATGAAGTGATTACTATAGGGCATTCAGGAAATCTTGCTGGGCCTTAATTATCACATTTACTTGTCTTCATCGTGGTTATCTCATCCAATAAATCAATTCATAAAGCTAACTAAAGTGAAAGATGATGTTTTAGTTTAGAAATGCTTCATGTACTGTGCCAGGGCATATTATAGCAGCTGCTCATACATGTATAACAGACGGCTGTTGAACTTTAATTAAGCAATATAAAGACATTTAAATTGTGAAAGATGAGATCCAAGAGCATAACCATAAAAAAATAATATCATTATGGCCTACTTCTGAGATGTCTAACCTTTCACAAAGAACAGATTTGATGATTCAATGATTTCAGTGTGCACTTCACTGAGCATTGCTCTATGATTTCAAAGAAAGTACTTCTGACCAACTACATAAGCCGATGGTCCAAAAATGTGATTTGTTGGTGTAATATGCAATTTGTTGGTGGAAAATGGGATTTGTTAGTGGAAAATCATGACAGATGGAGGGAAAATATCAAAAGTACCAATAACCCACATTACTGTATGACTACATTTATGCATTTAATCTTCTATGTAAATTTTAGATTTTGGTCCAAAAAGTTCCAGGCCAAATTTTTTTTTTTTTACTAAATATTCACTATGTAAAGTTGGTTTCTCCCTTACCACTGTTAAGTTCAAAATATGGCCAGATCAGATTAAACAGATGAAGCCAATTTATACGTTATGTGCTTGTGAATAGAATTTCTCATCCTGTCTAACATTATTGTGTCACTGTCAATGAACCTAAACCTCTATTAATTTTCTTCAATGAAACATACTAACTACATGTGGCAAATATCACTGAAATGTACAACACAATGGTTGTATTCTGAAGCATATTATACAGTGACCTACAAAATCAAAATTTATCATATAAACTAACTGCAAGATATTTTGGAGTGCCATAATTAGCAAATTACTAATATCTACTGCTTCTTAATAATATTGCTGCAACATGTATATTTCCTATTGCTTCCAAGTATGCAATATCCCATTGTGATTTGTTGTATTATAGTTTTTACTGATCAATCCCCTTACTTTTTTTTCCACGTTTCATGCCTTGCATGTTTTTATTTTTTCACAATTGTGTTTTTACCGATTAATCCCCCCCCCCCCCCCCCCACTTTATTTCTAACATTCCAAGCCTAGTTTCCTGCTTTCAGTACATGTAATTTGCTATTCTCTTTATATTCATTTCTTTTTCAGATTATTTTGTATCATACAATGAATTGGCTTTCTTATAAAATGATATGCAAGCACTCACAGTATGTAAAGAAATGATTATTTTTGTTGAAGCTTCACTCATATCAGTTTCAGTTTGATGTCTAAAATGGTCAAGACAGCATCTCCATTTTTATTGAAAATGACAGATGTGCAACTTTATTAAACTGCTGTTGCAAAATAGCACAGCCAGCATGAAACAGAAATTTATTTATTAACAACCTTGGCAACATTTTGCGCTCCTGTTTTGGCTTAGCTTCTGGGGACAGTTTACGGCTCCTGCGAGGGGATATGTCTTCCTGGTAGTCGTCTTTCTCCCATTTTGACAAGATTGGTGGAGACAACATGATCTGATCTTTGTCCTCGTCCATCTGCTCCACCCTCTGTCGTTTGGCAGGACTTTCTTCTGCTTCCTCCTCCTCCACCAGCTTTTTGTCTTTTACAGCTTCCTTTGTCCCCTTTTTGTGCTTACGCTTGGCTTTCCTATCTCCGTCTTTGGAACTCTCCTCTTTTGCAGATTTTATCTCTTCTTTGGGTGATTTCATACCCTCCATTATCTCCCCACCCTCCTTCTTAGAAATGCTCTTCTTACTAGTCTTTATGTTCTCCTCGTTTGATTTTTCATCAGCCATCATATCTTCCTCTTTTTTGACAGCTTTAACATCCTCTTCCTTAATTATCTTCTTGCCTGCCTCTTCCTTGATCTTTTCTTTCTTGATCAAATCTTTCTTCTCTTCCTCATCCTCAGATGTCACCTCCTTTTTCTTATCTTTCTTTTCATCCACCTTCTCCTCTATTGGTTTCACCTCACTCTCCTCTTTCTCTTTCTTTTGAGTCTTTGAAGAGGTCTTCTTCTTTTTCTTTGAATGGCTATCTTTGCTTTCTTCTTTCTTTTCTTCATCATTCTCTTTTTTCTCCTCTTTCTTATTTTCCTCATCCTTTCCTTTGTTTGCTGATTTCTCACTTTTCTTTTTCTTGCTTCCTCCCTCCTCCTTCTTGCTGCTAGATTTGCTTGATTTCTTCTCTGTTTTTTTGTCACTTGTTTTTTTCTCTGCTTTGTTGGGCTTATCTTCATTTTTGGAGCGAGGCGGTGGCCTTTCTTTGTATGGTCGTCTCTCTCTTGGAGATCGAGATCTTCTGGGAGGGTATGGTGGAGCGTCATACATGGCAGGATTGGGGGGTGGTGGAGGAGGCATTCCATATCGTGCGTAAAACTCATGGTAGAACTCATCATAGGCATGTTGATCAAACCTAAAAACAAGTACATGTAGTAAAGTATCTAAATGTATGAGTTGAAAAATAATAAAACTATTTAATTTCAGCAAAACAATTTTTATCACACATTCCCTCAGAAATTTACCTATTGTATGGATCAGGTGGATAGCCATAATGGGGTGGTGGAGGAGGTCCTCTTCCAACTGGCCGGCCTTTTGGACCTCTATAATCACCATACATAGGTGGTGGTGCATCCCACTCAGGTCGGTAGTAGTCATAAGGAGGGGGTGATCTTGACCTGCCTCTGTACATGGGAGGTAGGGGTGACCTTGACCTCCGACGGCCATAGGGTGGTGGAGACCGTGTCCATCTGTCATATCTGCCAGGACTCCGGGAACGAGATCTCCATCTTGGTGGTGGTGGTGTCCTTGACCTAGAACGATATCTTGGAGGACTTCTGGTATATGACCTTGGTCTTGGTGACCTTGAGCGGTACCTTGGAGAGAGTGATCTAGATCTTGATCTGTATCTTGGAGGAGTCCTTGACCTAGGTGATCTAGTGCGAGATCTGGAACGATACATAGGTTTCCCAAAAGGGGATCTTGAACGATTTGGTGATCTGGATCGCGATCTGGTTCTTGATCTGGGTGAGAAAGATCTTTTTCTTGGAGTAAGAGATCTTTTCCTGGGTGTCAAAGACCTTTTTCTTGGAGTTAAAGATCTTTTACGTGGTGTCAAGGATCTTTTCCTGGGGGTCAAAGACCTTTTTCTGGGAGTTAGTGACCTCTTTCTGGGAGACAGTGACCTTTTCCTAGGAGACAGTGACCTTTTTCTGGGAGTCAAACTACGTGACTTTGACCTGCGTGGAGAGACTGATCGCCGTGGAGTTCTGGATCGAGACCTGGACCTGAAATAAATGAATAAAGTCTTCACGTGAAACTCTATTATTTATGAATGTGCTGAAAACATACTGGTAACAACATTGCTAAGTGCACTATCACCCAGTATAGCTTGTAGTTTTCCCCCACATTACCTAGATCTTGAAGGAGATTTTGGTTTCTTCTTATAGTCCATGAACTCCCTTGCGAACACATCCATTGGATCTGCCTTTTTCCTGTAAAAACATTTAATACATTCATCAAATTTGCAAGTATTAGTTCAACCATTGAGTAAATAATTCTAAAATTAAGGATAAACTCTGCAACTTTGCAATACAAAACCTAGAACTACATAAATCATATACATTGCAATGCAAAAATTTTGGGCTTTTGATAAAATAAACATCTGTAATCTTTCAACATTGCTGTAACATAGAAATATGAAAAGCTTTCCTTCCCTTATCCCTGTAATTTTCTACTAAAAGAAAGCATCTAATTACTTTTTGTGCTGTTCCTGTAGTTTCTTCTGTTGTCTGTAGAATTCCTCCTTACTTAAAGGCACAGGTGGAGGGGGACCTGCTTGAAAAGGTGGAACCACTGCCGGTGCAGGGGGAAACCTTGGTCCTGGTCCAAATGGTCCTGCTGGAGGGGGGGCTAAAAATCCTGGTGGTGGGATGGCTGCATTCACTATTGGCACTGTAAATGCATTAAACTTCATGTTTCTATTTCTATATTAATGTTTGAATACAGTTTTCCATTAATTTTGAATTCCAATACCTTTGGGAACCAAGGGTTTCAAAATACTGTTGAATCACTTTAATTGATGGGGGTCAAAGTTGGCAGGCAAGCAAAATTTACCTGGTTCCTGAGGATGTAAATTTGTGTGTAACTTATATATGCAGAATATTCAATGAATCAATGCCTCGACAACGTTATTGTTCATGGAAATAAAATTTCATGGCCAAGGGTGACCCATGAAATCTACAACCATTGGTCCCCCAAGGACAATGATGATTCCACAGTACTTAATATTAAACATGATTAATTTGCATATCTACAAATACAAGCTAGTATCTTTTTTTTGTAATGCATTTGTTGCATATATCATCAAGGTCATGCCAAGTTTTTTTTCTATGTTTAGCATTCGCGTGCGCCTAGGTTTTTGATACCCCTTATCAGAAAAAAGAAACAAATTAGGAGTCCTGAAATTGATTATTCTGGTCAAAATCTTTGAATTCTGTCAATTTCTCTAAATATGTCATATTGGTTATATTTTAAGCATTCAATACTTTGATTTTGCTAATGAATAGATCTTTCTTTAAAAAAAATAGATTAATGGAATCAAATTCTTTGAATGACGCCAATTTTATGGCTATAAAGTCTGTGTGTTTTTTTTGAATAGGTAGGTAGGTTTTTGAAAGATGAGTGGATGCTAAACATAGAAAAAACTTGGAAAGGCCTAACATTAACTTACTCGGAGGTCTGTAAGGTACTCCAATAGGCTGTATGGGGGCAGTCGGAAAAGTCACTGGAATCAACGGAGGTCTGGAATTAAAATGGAACAAATAAATGAATAAAATAATCTTTCTTTGATCACACAGATTCTTATCATGGCTGAAGCAGAATTATACATGCCAAAACTACCATTCAATACAAACACTTTGTCACTGATAAAGTCTTCGAGAGTTGTGTACCTTGATAACATTTGTTGTGAAGTAGGTGGACCTGCAAAAAAATAGAAGACCAGTTTTCAATAAAACTGTGGAGTCATCAAACTCATGCTGTATTCAAATAGGAGTAGAGATTACCGAACTCTTCCTTTATATACAAATGCAAGGGCCTACCTGATAATCCTGGCTGACTTGGTCCTGAAGTGGAGGGAATAGACACAGGGGCTGAAGACACTGAAGGCTGTAATGAAGGAACCATATCTTGACTTTGAATTCAGTTTTTTGGGGGGTAAATCAAATATTATAGTACCTCTGATTTATCTAATTAAAATTGGACTTGTATTTTAGTTTAGCTAAAAGAATTACAATTTTTTAAATGCACTTTTGCAAGCATATTTTTCCTCAGTGACTTACTGAATGTACATCCTTTTCATCCTTGCATGGAGTGGGTGGACTCAAACCACCAGGGACAGCACTGTAAAAATTAAACATAAAATTCATGTCAATATTAAAGTCAGACTGCATGGTTTCTAAAATCTTGATTGATAAACAAACATTCTATTTACCAATCACACAGAGGCAATTAACTAACTTTGGGGGGGGGGGGGGTACTAGGTCAGTTTTAAAGGGAAAGAAAGTCTTGGGGGAGATGCCTTGAACACCCTCTCCGTCCCACAGTTGGTTTTTAATTTAAAAGGACATCTAATTTGTATAAATTTAACAGGTCTGGGTGCAAAACCCATGGATGCTAAAGCTTCTCAACAAAATCGAAGAAAGAATACATTATCATATACCAAAATTAAGTATATCTGTTTTGTTTTACTTCTAATTGAAAGGAAACTGTTAGGTATGCTTATAAAAGTGACCAGAAGTTTTTTTTCACATTTAAAGCAAAACATCTGGCATAAAAAGCAAAACTTTTTAAAGATTTTGAGGGACAAGTACCACTAACACCCACATTCATTAATATTAAAACATAAAGGGATTTCAAGTATGGCAGGTATGAGGTAGAAGGCAGATTTATAAAGCAATTAGTATGATACAGTTTACTTCATATTAAAAAGAATCATTATCTGGTTACCTAGAAGGGGCATTCACAGTGAGAGAAGGCTTGTTCCCTGGAGCATGATCTGTGCCATTCTGGGAGTCATTCAACTTTGATGGAGATCTTGGAGATCCCACCCCCTTAGATCCTCCACCAACTTTATAATGCTGTCCAGATTTCATGCCATAAGTTGGAATTGCTTGTGGGGCACTGCTCACCTCTGATGACATCGTTGGTTTACTTGCTTCTTGCTTTATTACCATTTTCTTAGCAGCAGCAGCTGCAGCTGCTTTTTTAGCCTTCATCTCTTCTTGCTGTGCCTTCAACATGGCCTTGGTAACTTTTGTGTATCCAGTTTCATTATGGTAGTTAGTGACAGCAAGCCGCAAAAATTTGTTGGCTATAAGACTGTCAGGTGATTTATCTGTTTCATGACAGTGAGGGCATACATGATCTTCTGTGTCAAGCAAATGATCTCTTATGCCTGAAAATAGAGACAATTTTGTATCATACTATTCTAACCATCAGGCATACATAATAGTATTGTAAAACATGTTTATAGTGAAGTGCCTGGGACTGACAATTTTGATTCTTGATAAAAGTAATTCGTTATATCCGTTAAGTTCACAATACTTTTTTTAACCACAAATCATTTCCCTATAAGCGTGAATTCATTATAAGCATGATCACTGTAAGGGTGTTTTACTGTACATTAATTTACCAATCATACACGCAAATTTACCATTCCTCATCCAAGTTCCTTTGTTCTACAATTTTTCAATTAAACTTGCATCAGACTTCAACTCTTTTATTTTAAATACTAGTACAAATTTGCCTTCTTTCACTGTACACACTTACATTCATCACAGAAGCTTGTTCCACAGCATGGAATAACGACTGCATCAGTCAAAAGATCTTTACATATAGGACAGAGGAGTTCCGCAGGGATCTCCTCCTTCTTGGGCTCGGGCAACTTCTCCTCGGGTAGGAATGGTGGGCGCTCCTTCTTCTTCTCCTTGTAGGCATTCCTATTACAAACAGAGGTTTTCCATGAAAGAACAGGTTCATACTTAATTAAGTAAAACTTTTAAAACAGATCAAACAAAATACTTTCACATTCTGAATACATCAACAAGCATAAGTACCCTCACAAGTGACATAAAATGCTGTGGTAGTACAAAAACGTATTTTCAGAAGCAACGACATAAAGATAATTAATTTCAAAACTGAGAGTTTTAAGTAACAGCCATTTAAAATCTTCATTGCTTTAAACTCTCAGTAAAATACTGATAAGCTATGTCTTTCCCTATATTCATTCTGCTTACATGTCTATTGTGGGTACTCCATATTGACCTGGGCCTAGTAATAAAGCCCCCTTGGCATTAGGGTCATCAACTTTGGTGAGAAAGGAATGGGGGATTCCTGTGGGTCTCTTGGCCAGCTTCTCCTTATCGATTGCCTCCTATGCAGGAAAAAGGGAAATATTAATACTGTCTAATTCAAAATTCATCACAGTTGTTCAATTTTTTTTAAATAACTACTGTACAGCAGATTAAAATCGCGGTCGGAAAAGATCGCGATTTGTTCAATTTGCAGCAAATCGCGGTCGTTTGAATTCGCGGAAAAGAAAAATTATACAAAAACTTTTTAAGCACTGCAAATATTTTCCTTGCGTATTGTGTCGCTTCTGAACCTGATTAAATAGAACGAAACACCGTACTGATCTCGATTGGATAAGAGGACAAAATGTCGTACGATTTACAATGTTATGCATTCAGATAAATTTTCTTCTTTCTTTCTCGTGTTTCCTTTCTTTCTTTCTTTCTTTTTATTAAATATTTTTGAAATACATGTGAGTCTAAACTCGAGTGATTTATTCAAGTGATTTCAAGTTGTATCCAAAACGTTCATGTAAAAAAAGCCCTTTGGAAGGTGTTCGTTCATTGGTATGTTTTGAGTAGAGTACAGAGTAGTATTTACTGCAGTATGTTTAAATCCCTCTGAATCTAAATCAGTTGTCAGTACCGATACCCAGCACAGTTAAGGCTGCAGTAAGGAGGCGGGGCCTAATTTTTACGGGAAATGCTTACTATGACATCACACAAAAATAGAAGTTCTTCAAATTACCACAAAATGAAATGATTTGGTATTTTAAACTTATGAATAGCTTTAAACTACATCAATACTAACTAGTGCATGCATTATTGTCATTGGTTAAATCCCACACAGCAATATATAAACAATTCACTGATCGCAATGCACTTGTCAATGTGACGTCATATCGGAAAATTTGAAGCAGTTTGTATGCAGTGAGAGGCGGATCAAGTTATATTTATACAATGAAAAATGTATTTTGTAATTAAATAAAATATAAATTGTAGATATATAAGAGGCCATTAACTTGGATGCGATGTCTGTTTTATGATTTTATTCATATACTTCCCGTACATTCCCTAGACAAGCGATACTGTCGTATATTTGTATGCAGATTCATTGAATGGTAATAGAAGGGTCGTAATAAATCGATATATTGCAAGGGCATACCCTCAATGAATTATGACAAGCTTTTACACATGAACTCAAGAAGTATGAAGATATTTGAAAAGTGCTGCGAACCTGTTGAAATCTTGCAAATGAATTAATTATATCTATATTTAATGTACTTGACCAGCAAAATATTCAACATACAGTCTAACAAATGTAATTTTAGCAATTAGATAGTAGAATCTATATAGGTTCGCAGCACTTTTCACAAACTACAAAGAGTGTTGAAAATAATTATATGTTAAACTTGGATTTTTAACTTGGTTATGCCCTTGCAATATTAGAATTTATAGATGACCTTAATACTTCAGGTATATTTGCTAAAATCACGTGACTGCCACATCACGTGACAAGTCTTAATAAGAAATCTAATCGTCCTCAACATTTAGTTTTCAACCACACTGCATTTGTCCAATAATAGTAAAGTCCTAAAAAGAAATGCCCATCCTTGTAAAGAATGTATTTTCTATCGAAAAAATTCGCTGATATTTCCATTTGGCACCTTAACTGTGCTGCGTAGTCAAAATGTTGAACTGTTAATAAAATTGAATTAATGTGTAACAGTGTTGTCTTTACCTCGTATTCTAAGTGCCTTGATTAAAGATAATAAGACTGAGTGATACGCACGGGTGAAATCTAACAATACATGTTTTATAGATAATTACATCGCACCTCTACTGGATGGCAGAATGAAATGTTAGTTAAGGATGTTTATTTATCAATTAAGCTTAAAAAAATCAACAACTACATGTTAGTAATTAATCCGTACACCCGCATAATTAGGAAGACAGTCTACATATCCGCTATATATCAATTACTGCTTTTATGTTTGCAAGGAAACACAAATAGAGTTAATGACTCTAATCACAGATATCAGTAACATTTCGATTTATCCTTATCAATTTTTGAAGAATTATTCACTGTATGTTGTATTCGCAGAATTTTTATTTCCGCGAATATTAACTCCGCGAGTTAATTTCCTGCTGTACAGTATATACACGAAAGTGGGTAAACAGAGATTTCACAGAAAAAAAAAACATTCTGCCCAAATTATTGCTTAGGGCATGATTTGAATGAAGTTGTTAATACAGATGAGATAAAAACCACCATAGTGTGTTTCTTATTTAATTTTCAAAATACCAATAGTATGCTGGCATTTTTGCTTTACTGTACAAAAAATGCGAGTATAAATGTTTGTCTTTTTTCAGCTGCTCCAAGAGATTAGTAAAATCTAAAAATTTACTTTCGTATTTGATTTCTCATAAAAAATAATACAAAGATTGGATATTGTTCAATATAAAATCTGATAAAGACTTACCCCAGGTTCTACAGGGCAGTTTTGGATGAAGTGCCCGGATTTTCCACACTTCTTACAAATATAAGTGGGGGAAGGAGTTCCAACAGGGGCTTTCTTGTTGGTTACATAGCTGAAATCACAGAACACATGTCACTGCTTTTAATTTTCAATGAAATTGGAATATTCTGAATTGTGCATGTTATAATCTATTTATTAAAATGATCTGTTCTTCTAAATGAAAGTGTTTCATACAAAAATTCTCTATCTTACAAATTTACTGATTGTTTAAGAATTCACTCGGTCAAATCTCGCCATCTTGAACTTGATGGGGCCAAGGAAAAAAAACATTTACATGTATATCCAAGGCTTAGTGAAATTGAGGTTAAAAAGTGGTTGGGACATCTAACACAGACATATCCTTAGTATTCTTGAGACTGATGTTAGAAATACAAAAATTCAACCGTTTTACCAAAATAAGATAATGATTAAGTCTTACTTTGATGGGTCAAAGTCCATTGTTGACTGCCTCATCATGGCTTTTATCTTGTCCTCTTCGGATGCATTGGCATCAAGAAGGTTTCCAGTCTTAAATGAAGCACATCAAGAGATTAATATAATTGCTTACAATTCCTTCACCAATCACGATTTTAGTTATCTTATAAAAATTTTCACTAAGGGTACATTTTGGTATCAATTTTTTTGATTTATAGAGCATTTTTATGCTTAAATTCATCCTATACTGAAGAGGATTTTAGCCATTTTTTACCTAATATGAAATCCCCCCTCCCCAGTATTTGACATGTAAGAAAAATTACTGATCCTGGTGCTTAAAAGAAGAAAATAAATAGAGTGCAAAAAGAAACTGTTTTTTCAAATTGATATCTACCTCCAATAAATCTTGAGTCTTTGTCACAGGGGTTTCCACAACTGATTTTCTGACCTGTTGTTCAATAAAAACTACACTGTTACAATATTAAAGCATTACACCCTTCTTTGGAAAAGAAGAAGGGTATAATTATCTGACAAAATGCTGACAACTAAGAACTTCCACTGACTTAATGTATTGAGTCATTGATAACTTCATAAAGTGCATTAAATTTGTCCCATGTCATCCCTTTGATTTATATAGTTATCGTACTACTTGAAGACCTATTCTACATTACAGTTTCTTATGATTTTGTAGTAGGAAAGAAATGCATGAAGAAAATATATGGCTGAACCAGAAATTGAAACCGGGACCCCTGTATTACTAGTCAGGTGCTCTAAACACTGAGCTATCCAGGCCGATATCCCCAGTCTGTAAATTCTTGTACATTCCTTGCTCCTTAAACAGTCTACGACCTCGAAGACACAAGTTCTAGGGCCCTGTCAGGAATTACTAATTTACACATAACGTAACCTGAACATGGCACCAACAATGGCCACCAAATGTAGTAGGAAAGGAGAAATGCATGTAGAAAACATATGGCTGGACCGGGAATCGAACCCAGGACTCCTTTCTTACAAGTCAGGTGATCTAACCACTGAGCTATCCAGGCCTATATCCCCGGTCTGTAAATCCCGAACTTCTACAATTTCCTTATCTTCTAAACTTAATGGGATTAACAAAATTGTCATTTGTAATATTAACTCAGTAGAGGTTCCCAGTCATTTCTGTGTCCTGTCATTTTGGTCTCCCAGTCCGTCTAATCCACGTTATAAACACAAATTTTAGTTTAACATCTATTGTCAGTGTACATGGGTAGAGTAGAAATGTTTCGGGCAATTCTTATTCATCCTTGAAAGGATTATTTGACCTCAAGTCAAATCCCAAATTATGATAGTTGAGTCAAGGATAAAGTGCAAATAATATGAATTCAGTTTCTTCTTCCAGTCTCCAGTGTCTACTAATTTCTTCTCACAAACTACAACATTGAGAATACTCTGAAATAGATGGATTTATTAATAACATTCATATAGTGTATATTACTCTCTACACTTGCACAGCACTTTCATCCACCTTTCCCTACTTTGAATTGCATATTAATTTTAATAAAAATTTTAGTATTAGTTAACACATTAATCTTAGACATCTATGGTCAATATACGCAGGGTACAAAAGATTTAGGGTGAATCTTACTTTGTAAGTGGAATTTTTAGCGCGACTCAAAATTAGCAATTGTCTTTTAAAATTGGTATATAATTTTAGTGGGAAGTAATTAAAGTGATTCTAATTCTATGATGACTATGGTCAATGTACACAGGGTAGGGCAACTCTTACTGTATAAGTGGAATTTTTAGCGAGAAGCAAATTTAGCGATTTCTCCTTTAAAATCGGTATATAATTTTAGCAAGTAGTGATTTTAGCAATTCGATAACGACAGGAAAAAACAGTTATTTTCAATGCAAAATGAATTTAGCAATATTCAATTTTAGTGATCTCAACACTCTTGCTTATAGTACCAGAATTGAACCTTTGCTAAAAATTCTGCATATACGATATGCATCCTTGACAAGATTCCTTGTAGCATACTTGATTCTGATGATCAGATGTGCCCGGGTAACACCAGTGAATTTACACTTGATAAAAAAAGTGGTATTGCGAATGCATCTTGCCTGGTGATCCTTTTGAGCTGGAAATATTTGCTAAGCTCAGGTGGCTTGGCTTCCTTGGAGATATAAGTATCGAAAGTGGTTTATTTTCTAAGACATGAAACCTTTCATCAAAGTACTCTGGTGAAATGAACATGATTGTAAAAGTGTAGTCCTTTTCTTTGTTAGGTAACATTTCCTGAAAGAAATTCAATTTTCCCATTACTGTACATTTGCTAGGTTGCCAAGTTTACCCGGCTTAAATCAGCTAAGCCAATTTCTATCAGAATCAAATATGCTATATATTTTAAGTCAAATCTCAGCTTATGATGGCAAAGTCAAGAAACAAGTAAGAATTTTCTGAATTCAGTTTCTCCTTCAAGTCTCCACTGTCAATGTATTTCTTTTCACTAGCTACATAGAGAATAATCTGAAAAAGATGGACTTGTTAATAAGATTCATACAGTGTAATACTATACCACTCACTGCACTTGCATGGCACTTTCATCCTTTCCCTACCGGTACTTGCTTTACATAATGCAGTTGTCTTTTAAACTATTCTTTCACTTATTAAATCAAAACTGGGGTGTGACTACAATTCTTTGCTGACTGGGGTGAGGTACAAACATAAATACTATTGGTTAGAAATAGCCACCATATATCCTATAAATATTTATTTTACTTAGTTTTTGTGCCTTACTATTACAAAGAACTCATGTATTTTCAACTTATATACACTTCAAATTTTGGGACTTGAAATAATTTTTTTTTCATGTGCTGCAAATATTTTATCATGTTTTATCTAATCTTTTGCTTATTTCAAAGAAATAATTTTTCTGTTTTAAAATTCTGCTTAACAATCAAGGGGTTGAACATAGCAGAAAATTTACCGACAATGAATTCACTTAAATAAAATAGAAGTAATGCCAAAAAATATCCTTCCTCCATTTTCAATTGAAAGAAAAATATTTTCTTATAACGAGTATCAATGGAAAAGTTTACAAGGAAAGTATTGAACTAATCTTAAAATGACTGAAACCATAGGTAAGGAACTGAGAACTCAGAACTCAGACAGGTTACCAACCTCTTTCAAATCTGCTCATCCATTCCTTAATTTTCTCACACACATACACACACATACAAATTCAGCCAAATTATGACAATAGGTGGTAGTCTTTGTGTGTTTATTAACAGCTGAATAACAAGTGTAAATTATTAGAAAATTTAAATTCATAGCAAAATAAATGCATAATAAAAATATTTAGAGCTTGGCACATATCAGATAAATATATGAAATGTAAGGCAGTGTAAACAGACAAATAGCAGATACACAAGCTTCTGTTTTAAACATGCCTAGTTTTCTGCCAATAAAAACAAAGATTTGAGTATTAGTTCATCAGTACAAAAAAAACACCTTGACATTTAAAAGGTATTTTCTATTAAATATACAAGAAAGTTCTAAGAAATTGTGTGCTTGGACAAACTTCATGCTTACTTAACATGATTTGAATTTTTAAAAAAAAATAAAACAAACAAACAAACAAACAAAAAATATAAATTGATTGAATTACCATTCACAACCATTTAAACTCCATTTCAAATGAATTTCATTTACTCTAGTAGAATTTCCAGGTATACAGTTATATAATGCAATATCAATATTATGATAATAAACATGACATAAGGCAAGGACATTTTAATGTTAAGGATAAATTTAACAAAATAAAACTTGACAAAAATTCAATGTCAAGTTCTTATGCTAAAAACATTATTTGATTTGAACAAATGTATATATGCAGAAATCAAATAATCAAAATGTAATTTATATGCATGAAATATTAACAATACAGTTCTGAACAATAAATAATTATCAACTTTTCAAATTTAGAAATGTTTCCAAAACAATTCAAACAATAGTTTTACCGCCAATAACATTACAATATGTTCAATATATGTAATGCCACAAAGATAATGTAATAGGAATGATTTGAAACACACATTAAATAATTTCATGATAACTGTTGACATAACTACAAAGTCCATTTCGGGGTCTCCATGTCTGCATTCAGCTCACATGCGCAATAATTCACCGAAAGTCTATTTAATATCAGTCTTCATTGCTCTTCTTTCTTCTCGAATGCGCATTATTTAGTGACATAATTTAAATACTGTAGCAATCACACTCAATTTTTTACCTTAATTTAAAGAATACAGACAACAGTGGTATAAACAATGTAATACTTACAATTCATTACCTTTGTATGTTGATTTTTGCTATCATTACCAAACTCATTAAAATTGTAAAAACACTGTACCAAATGTACTTTGCCAGTATATTGCACTATTTCATACAAGATTCAAAATACAATACCATGACTAGAACAATACACAGAACACATATGAATGCTTGACAACAAAATGATATACCTTGAGTGACATTTCAATTCTAGTGTAAGTAAATTACTGGATACACTTCAAGATCTTGAACATCCTTTAGAAACACTCAACCATAACTCAGATGAGTACAGCACAGGTGTGTTTCTCATTTTAAATCATTATAATTACAAGTACACACAAATACAGACAAAGTCAAAGTCCTATACACACAGGTTTGAAATACAAGATTTTTTTTGTTACATGTGTCTACATCACTTACACATGTTTTAGACATTCCAGAGATAAGGATAAAAATATATTATCAAACAGAGACTGAAATTTCATGATTTATACTATACCAAACATTTATACATACTGGTTTAGGTTCCTCTTTGTAGGCATTTGGATGATTGCTGTAAAATGGAAGGAATGAAATATAAATATACATGTCTGTGGAATAATTTTAAGTTAACTTTCAAACAGACACTGAAGATTTTGTATGCTTATATATATTTATTTCTTAATTGTAAATCACTCATATTTTGCAGAAGTTTTTTTTTCCCAAGACTACATCAAATCATCTTTAAAAGAATGTCTGCTTGCCCTACTCCCAACTCGGGGTAAAAAAAAAAACTACTGTTACAAGATTTTTTAAATAGGATGTTGTATTTCAAATAGCATTGTAATGATCAAATACTTGCCAGTATAAAAATAAAATAGTTGATGACAGAATGAGAAAATTCTTGAATAATTAAGAAATTGTTTCCTTGAGATTTAAACAAATTTGAGTAGGGCCATTTTTAGCCATTAGGTCTGGAGAAGGCAAACAGACATTTTTTTAAAGATGGCCTCATTGTATTTATTCGGGAGATTTAATTTTCATGCATCCTCTAATATAAGAAATATGTAACTTCCTCTTATTATTCACAACTTAATTCTTCAATTGCACCACAGTCAAAAATTATGTGAGAATTACGTTCTCACAAGTAGGGATGCGTAATTTTATCAGTATACTGGTATCTAAACATTCTTTATATTAAATAAATAAATATTTAAAAAGTAAAATTACGTTTTTATAGCATATTTTTCGAAAACGTTATGGAAATTCTTCTGAAATTGTAGTAAAAATTGTGTGTAAAAATATCACGATTTATCGTGATATTTTTGGGAAAAAATCGTGATACATCACGATACAAAATTTTTGCCGATATCCATCCCTACACACAAGTGCAATGTGATTTGCAATTCAAAACATTTTTCAATTCATAAAAAGATCCTTTGATTAATACATCTGTAATTCTTCACTACTCCACTAAAAAAAAAAAGACAATTCTTCTGCATTTCTTTCCCATTAATCACAAAAATAAGAGTAATGCATAAAATAGAAGTTTGATACATACAGGGTCTTTGGTCCATTCCTAGGAGCAGGGTTAGTGACTGGAATCCGGGCGACAATCACAGACGAGTTCTTTGGAATCATTTCATCATCATTACTGTATGCTGTAATAACACAGGAACACTTTATTTTTTAGTCATTATCCAACATTTCTCCTTTACAAACTTCTTGAGCAGTAAAAGATATATTTACAATGGTTTCAAACCTTCTCATTTTAGTTTATAGCCAATGATATTGATAGTGTAAAATACAAGGCATTTATATTTTCCTACCTATTAAACAAGGTACACTCTAACATTGAAGTAATTTTATGACAATTATTAACATTTAAACCTTGTAGAGCCTAGTTGCCTTACCTTTCTTTGTTATAGCATTGATAATTTGTAGGTCGTCATCAGTATCCCTGAGCTTCTTCCTGCTCATGATCATCCTCTTCAGGTCCTTTAGGGCTATGTGGAGACCATCAAAAGTAATGGAATCATAGTCCAGGCTGTTCTTAAACTTGAAATGTATACAGGCCATGGCTGTTTGTCACTGATTACATACACCAAAATGACGTGTTGAATCAAGAAACTTCTGCCAAAAAAAGAGAAAAACCTCATTGTGAAGCAGCATTTCACTATAACATGCTTATCAAAAACTATGTAACATAGACTCCTGAACTTAACTGTAGACTAAATTTCAACCTGTGAAAAAAAAATCTTTTAGAGATGGGGTTGTCTGATCTCATTTTTGCAGTATGTCATTTTGCAGTCTGCAATGTACCAAGTTTGATGTCAGTCAACATGGTCAAGAAAAGATTTCTTCTGAATTAGATACTGAACAAATAATATCTTTCTTTGTCTTGAATGGTTTGACCCTTGATCTTTGACCTTGTGACCTCAAAACCAAAAGGGATTTCCTACTCCTTATGGGGAACTAGTGTAGTAAGTTTGATGTCTGACAAGCAAAGGGAATTGAACATATTGATGGTCAATATCTTTATATGCCCAGTTTGACTACAATTTGACTTTGTGACCTTAAAATCAATAGGGTCATCCACAGGTAACCTCACAGGGCCTCTGCTGTTCTTTTTTTTTTTTTTACATCAAATCAATGACATACCTAAAAGAACATTATGAGGTACATGCCTTACGAGGTGAGTCTTTGGCTCAGGAGAGCTAAGGCCAAAAAAAATAATAGTCTTGTTTCCTGCTACCCGATCTACCCTATTTTTTTGCACCCGACCCTAAAGTTTTTTTTAAGTTTTGAAAGAAAAAAAATCGGGATTTTCCGGAATTTCATTGTTTTGTCACTGTAATCGGTTTCCGTGTTAACACAAAACAAGCTTTTCATGAAATTCTTGTTTTAAATATGGACTTTCATAAAATACCACTTGAGTTGTGCATAAAAAGACATGAAATTTAATTTTTAAAAGACAATATTGACCTGTGACATGTTTAATTTGATCTTATATTAGTTCATATCCAAAAATGCTGTCAAAAAAAAAATAAAATAAAAATATAAAATAAAAAAAATTTCCTACCTACCTGCCCTATTTTTTTTCAGGCTGGTAGCAGGAAACAAGTCTATTATTTTTTTTGGCCTAATCAAAGTACTCAGGAGTACAGAGAGCCGGGCTTATTTACAAAGCTGATTTTTTTTTTTACATGAGCCATACCTGTACATTGTATTAACAGCTAAATAATGAGCTCTGCAGATATTGGAAGAATATGTACAAACAATTATAAAAATAATAATAATAATAAAAATAAGGGTTCAATGACATCTTATTTGAAAATAATTGTTAAAAATCTTATGAAAAATTTATTTTAAAATATCAAAATAAATGATAAAGCAATTAGTTTTTGGGACCTAAAACCACAGTCCGAATTTATCAGGGTCAGAGTTAACATGGCAGCGCTGAATGTATCTGGTTCCCTCTCCTGCTTTTCTCCGTCTTTGTAGAGAACTAGGCTACGACAACATTGACTATAAAAAAACATTACGCAGATGAACTATGGTGTTTGACTTTGGACTGAAGTTTTCAAAGTCATTACTACTGATGTTTATTTGTATAGATAAAACTTCGTTTCATTTTTGTTGCTTTATTTAGCATTTGTATTATCTCAAAAGTGGTTGAGAGTAAGTACTATATTTTTACACGTAACTTTAATTTGGCGACTATGCGGTCAACACTTCCTGCATTGAACAGGCTGACAATAGCCGGCAATTGCTCTTTGAGCAATAAGCCCGGCTAAAAATGTGTAGCTATACAAGTTACCAACAAGCAGAATCCCATCATTACCAACTACACAAGCATGGGCACCTCGTAGAAGTGGTTGACTCCAGCAAATACCTTGGGGTCACCATCAGTAAAGATGATGCGAGACAAATTTTGCAGTCAGCAAGCAGAGTTTTTATGCTATTTACGGAGATAAAAATAAAGACAAGCTTGCCATATATGATTGTGAAGATAAATTATTGTAGAAGAGAATGGTAATAAAGAGTTTGCCAGTCCATTTTCCATGTTGGGCACAGCCCACCAAAGGGTGGTCTAACCCCACTGAACAAATGGTGGTCTTTTTTATAGGGGTAAAACGATACGCCTCCTTCATGATACAATAAATATCGTATGATTTTGTCTCAGTACGGTTATTTTTTATATGTTACATTTTGAAGAAGGAAACAAATTTAATGTTGTTTTATGTTTTCTAACTTTTCTTTCACTAATTGTAGGCACTTAATTTACATGAAAATTGACTACAAGAAATCGATTAGAATGAACTGTTAAAGATTATTTTACAAAATATCAGGCCTCAAAAATTTACGTTTTTTTACTTAATTATGCTGAGTAGTGCATAGTCCATATTGTAAACAGACACGTGGTAATTTGGTATTTAAACCGCGACGTTCATCAAATTATTTCAATTACTCAGTGTCAGAGATGATACGTTTAATTCATACAGGCAGTCTCAAGATAAGCACAATAATATGACAATATGCAAATACAAAATTAGTACACCAGCTTACCGAAGCGACCCGAATTTACCCTGAGTTTAATTAACTGGAAATGAGTATTGTCAACTTGTACATCAAATTTCAGGGTTTGAGGGTAGTGAAAACGCGATATTTTAAGAAATATTTAACAGATTAACTTGAAAATGAATAGGGTTCCCCCTTTTACAATGCCACACAAGTATGTGGAGGCTGAGAATGGATGGTGCAAAGGTTCTCTTTAAATCTTGCCCACAAGCTGTAACAGACACACTAACACACACACACACACACAGCAGTGATGCTATATCTCTGCAACTAGTTGCGCGAGGGGATAAAAACTATTAAAAAAAAAAAAAGTAGTGCACCCTGTAAAACATGCCAGATATTTCAGTGCAACCACACCCTCCATTTTGTAAAGACGAAATATTGTCATTTTCGTCTTCTTTGCTATTTTGTGCAAATAAATTGACAAATAACTCTTCCACTATTATTTTGGCTTGGGAATTTTGTACTGTCAACATAACCAGTATTGTAGTCAACTGTATTTGAGAAATGAAGTTTGTTTACGATGTTTTCTGTCCATTTTTCGGTTGGAGGATCCAAGTTCTTTTAAAAGAGAGGTAACTTGGTATTCTAGAAACACTCTAAATTTTTATGACTGTTTTTCATCATTTTCTTAAATATGATGAGTTGTAGCCACAATAAAAAAAATTATTTTATGACTAGAAATCGTCATATTCAGAATGACGGATTTCAGTTTCACCTCCTGACTGTCTCATAGTATATCCTATTATATAAAGAATAAAGCATTGTGTAAAAAAATAAAACAAAATCAAAGCACACATTTCAGCTTTCCTTTTATTTCCTAATTGAAAATTGACACTAATGCGCCTCCGAAGCTAAATCAGCCATTTGACCAAGTCCAAGAAAGATCATCATTTTTTATTGGTTTACATTATTCAATTGGTTGCTGTATGATCAAAATAGAAAGTAAGAAACACAATTGACAGGTGCAACAATGAACTTTTCATTTTAAGTAAAAGCATAGAAATGTAGCACTAGTTTATGTGGGCTAAGATTTTTGTCAAATATTTGATCGACTCAGTGTAAAAAATTCCACATTGAATTTCTGATTTTTCTCTTTTAACTTATAAATGCTTATATCTTATTCCACACAAGTTTAAATTATGCGAAATCCCATGTCATTCTGCGGAATTAATCAAAACAATTTTTCTCTCCCATATGGTCAAAAAATACTGACTCGGATATGGGTAATTGACCACTAAATGAGAGTTAAACCACCATTTGGTGGTCTGTGCCCAACCTGTTTTCCCTTGAGTGTAAAAAACTGCAACTCTTGGGAGGGGATAATCCATATAATTCGTAGTTATATACATTATTTTCATACTATGAGTTAAAAAATTTGTTACATAAACAAGTGTCTGTGCCCTGGATGACTCTCGAGTCCCTTTATAAGGTTCCATTTCGACTGGTCACTACCGGTCAATATTTTTTTGACCTAAATTTGGGATTTTTTACCATACTTACCTTCCACTGTGTGCCAAACAGGAGGCAGTCAAGTACTACCTTGATTAGCGTAAAGAAAAATCCAGAGATAGCTAAACGGAACTCCTTGGATGTTTTCCACAACCAGCAATCAAAACCTCCTGTTTGGTTGCTAGCGAAAGGAAACTGGGTAAATAAACATGAATTTAGGATAAATAAATCATTTTGACAGGGTGCGACCATATTAGAGAAGTTTATAACATCTCCCTGAAATGCCTCTTGCATAAATTTCATTGAAAATACTGTATTAACATTGAATATCTCCCTTGAAGCTGGGCACCTTGTGTGTTTACAAAATTTTGTGTCTTACCTTTAATATTTTTATATACCATAAACAGGCAATCTCTACAACTTGACAAAAACGGAAAATGATATAAAATATTGAAGTATTTGTATGATAGACTAGGAATTCATGTATATTTGCTTAGTTATCGTGTCTAAATAAAATTCTCAAGGGGGGGGGGGGTTTACACCAACTATTCGTCAGGTTACTGTGGTCCCAACCTGTTTAACAAATTTCTCGCCTCCCAATACGGATTTCACTTTCATACCCTGGATGACTCCGTATTAGCTGTCAAACTGACCGAGTAACTAATAATATTAAGACAAAAATTGTTATAGTGTACACCATGTTCACGAAAAAAGATCACAATATGGCGTAAATTCATAGAACTTACACGTCCATGGTCCACGACTTACTGAAAACAGGTTTAGGGAATGATAACAATAATTTTAAATACAATGAGGGGAAATGAATGTACATACCTTGTTTAAGGAAATAAACCTGGATTCTTTTTACATCTTAGTAAAGGTGACCTTTCAGGACATGTTTCTTCCACAAAGAAAATTATTCAACATGGCCGATTTGTCCACCGGAAGTTCATTTATTCACGATGTTTGTAGGTTTAGATACTACTAATTAAAGTAAAATTTAGGGAAATGCTATCAAAATACCCATACTTCAAAGTGTGTCAAAGAACAAGAAGTATTTATGTCAATAAATCAAAAACTGATTTATAGTGGCAGATACTGTGGAAAAAGTAAAAGGGACAAAATCAATTAAAGAAAAATATGAAATATTATGTACTATTTGCAAAGATTTTCACAGGCAAAAAAAAAAAAAAAAAATTTCATTTAAATGAAACATTGGAATTTTTTTGTATTTTGTTTCCTTGTTATAAAATTTAAAAAAAATGATCAGGAAAATGTTTTCGACAAATGAAAAACTTAGCTTTTTAAAAATCCAAATGCTAACATGTTTGTGGATTTTAGATATGCAAACATTTCTGAAACACTGAAGACTTATACACAAGGAAGTCTCTTAAACGTTTGTTGTAATGTTTATTTTGAAATTTTCCCAAACACTGCCAAGAATGAAAAAAAGTTTATTATAAGAAAAGGTGTTAAGCAATCGAAATGTTTGGACGCAAAAAAGAAAACGCTCCACCGAGGAGGAAGGGTGCTGATCTCATGAATCAGGTAAATTAGACTACAATCCGGATTTCCTCGAAAATACATAGGGCACGCCTTTAACAAAAATATATTTATATTTTTGTGTAACTTCATTGATTTTGTCTCTTTTGTAAGTGAAAAGTGTTTCTAAATATCATTTACTGCTGTGTCACAGATTTATATGTTTTGATATTATGTGATGTTCGCGCTGTTCAGAGTATGAAGGCAGTAGATAGCAGTTGTTTTAGGCCTACAGTCTGAACTGCTATCTACTGCCTTCATGGATCATGGTACATATGTAACAGGAAAGCAGAAAATGCGATGGATCAGACTGGGATTCAAACCCGGGTCCCCTGAATCTCCAGTCAGGTCCTCAACTGGATTGTAAGTGAACAGGTGGGAAAATGTGTAGGCCAGCCTGGGATTTGAACCCAGAACTTCCCCACTAACTGTACTGATGAGCTACCTGGCCAACATATTCAATAGCAGTTACACTCAGTCTCTTCCTTTATTTTGAAGTTTTCCACCAAAAATCCTCACTGTGACTCTTCTACAAAAACTAGACTTTGTTTTAGGATGCTAATTTATAAAGACAGGGAAAGATGTTAAATGAGGCTGGGACCTTTACATTGGACCTTCAGCTACTGAACTTGCGTACCATGCAATTAATGCTACATAGTTCATAACCATGTAGAATTATTCAGGATAGGTCCAAATAATATACAAAGGGAAGACAATTCAGCTAAAAACTTCAGAAATGAATTGGAACAGCTATTAAAGGGATGGTGATAGTTACACTGATACTTTAGTTGAAAAAAGTCACAGCTATTAGTCCAGAATCAGATGACACACTGGATAGATTTTTTGGATGGGTTTTTGTATGACTGGAGGATGTCTTATATCTTTTCAAGGGTTGCCCTTTAATGGCTGTCTTTTTGATGGTTTCACGACTGCAAAATAATAAGCTTTATATTAAAATTTTTCTCCTTTGATGTATAAATAGGTGATTAGGTACATGATATGTAATTAACAAATACTGTGGAATTGTTTTAATTCATTGGGGTCAATGTTTGTAGGCAACCAAAATTTTACTATTTTGTTGGGAAGTAATTTTGTGGGTAACTGGTAGATACAGAAGATTTGGTGAACTGATACTTAAATAAAGTTATTGTTTGTGGGAATGTAAATTTGTGGCTATGGGTGAACCACGAAATCCACAAACTTTGATTCCCCAGGAACAATAATGATTCCACAGTACATATGTATCATCACACATCAAACACATTTTCAGTTGAAATTTTTAATAAATGACTTCAAACCTGAGGCTTATATATAATTTAATTGTAAATTTCCATGTGTGGAGAAATTTCACTTTCCATATTGCAGATGGGTTATTCTGATATGGGACAGATAGAGCAGCAGTTGTATGGAGATCTTGAGAATGATGACGAGTTGGAGGCAGAGTTACTGGCCCTTCAGGGAGAGGACGATGAAGGTGCTAGACCCCCTAGAAAGAGACCTAGTGAGTTAATTAGTATATGTCTGTAACGAAGGACAATATTGCCATAGTCTGTGTTTCAACATTGTTTTTGCAGGCTATCATTGGTTTGAATGAAGAAAATCTTATTAATAAACATTTGAAAATTATTTGTATCTATTTTTGACAAATTAATTACAGAAAAAAATTAAATACTTTTATTGTGGTTGTAGATCCTTCTGGGGGTGGAGGGATGGCGGGCATTCAGGCTATGGCTGCAGAAGCGATGCGAGACTTTGGGAGTGATGAGGAAGTATCGGATACTGAGGATCCTGATCTTCTATCAGAATTACAGGTGCAGTCTCTGAATGAATAGTATAAGACATCTTATTTATATTTAAGGGATGAATATTAAGGTTTGCAAAAAAAAGAGAAATGAGGTAAAACTGGGTATCTCTAGTAAATATGAATGCAATTCAATATAATTTCAATTGAGGAAGTTACTGATAACGAAAAAAAAATCATATCCTTTTTATTATCAAAGTAAATCAATGGAAGTGTTAGTTTTGGTTTAAATTATTGTATTAATGTAACAAAATTGAAACATTTTTTTATTTGTGACTGGTGTAATATTTTAAAGACTGCCTGTTTTCTTCTAATCAGGGTTTAACAGGTGGTGATAATGAGAAGGACAGTAAACCCCCACCTGTCAGTACTGTCCCTCAGATCAAGCACCCAGAGATAGGGATGACAGAGTTACTGGAAGACAGGTTACAGATGTACAAAACAGCCTCAGAGAATGCACGGGCAGCAGGGGACAGCAGTAAACAGAGAAGGCTTGACAGAGGGATGAAGGTAAACATACCTTACCAAAAAAAAAAAATTCAGAATCTCCTCCACCTGAACTGTTTTAAAAATAATTCCCCAAAATTTTGTAAAAGACTCTTCTGACATACACACACCATACACAAAAGTAAGTTTTAATTTATCTCAGATTTTATAATACCTTTTACATATAGTTTAATCGATTTATATCTTTGTATGTAAAAAGTAAAGTTTTGTCCTTTTTAACACAAGACTATTCAAGATTTACTGAAGAAGGCCAAAGCTAACAAACCTGTAGCTGAGGATGACATTCCACCACCTGTAGCCCTGGGGTCCAATTCAAGGGGGCCGTCTCCAGTAAATGTTGCAGGTAACCTACTGACATGTTATAAACAGATATTGAAGACTTGTACATTTTATATACCTTGATAGCCACATAACACATCAATGCTCTCTTTAATTTACTTGTAACTTAGATACCAGTTTCTTTATTTGCTTGGCTCACTTTGAGTACTTAAAATATTTTTCATATTTCATAGGTAAAGTAAATAAGATTGGTTGAACTGCTGAGCAAATTACCGTATTATTTTGATTCCAGTACACATTTCATGCAAATTATGGCACCAACAAGATAATTAATTGCAAAACACGAGGGGGGTTGGGGGGGGGGGGGGGTTAGATATATGTACTTGATGTATGATATGTAAAATTTCTTACAGCACCAGAACCTGAGAGGAGACCAGCTGTCTTACAACCGACCATTCAACCAGTTCCTGTATTACCAAAACCAGAGCCAGTGTCTCCACCAGTCTCTGCTCAACCAGAGTTGTCTCAACAAGGTGAATTGTTAATGAAAAATAGATACAAATGAACTTTCTCATTAGTAATCTTTGCTCTCAAGATTGAAGATAATTGATCATGTTGATTCTCATGTCCTGACAGGTTTTTGTCTGTCTGTTCAAATTTTCTTGTATTGTGTAACTATTGAACTACTACAAATGAGATGCAGACTCCATATTTTGTCAAGGTCACTGTAGCCTGTCAGGCTTAGAAATGGGTTTTAGTGGAGCAGGGCACATTGTTTTACAAACAGACATTCCCCATTCCCTTGACTCTTACAGGAAACAAATGTTTAGTCTTTGCTCTGAAATACACATACCGGAACATGTACAACATTTTTTTAACTTGACACAGGCAAGGAAACCCACAAGATGCTTGTGACCAGGAGAGACCAGTACAAACAGGCAGCCCTAAAAGCAAAGCATGCAGGGGACATAACTACAGCCACCAAGCATGTTAAAGTAGCCAAGGTAAATTGTAACTGTCATATTCAGCTGTCTCATAATTTAAAAGCTAGTAACATTCTGGTCAGTTAACCGAATAAAACTAAGGTAGTCAGTACTCACTATTAATCATTCATGATTCACATGCAATACTGCAAAAATTAAAATTTGGTTCTTTTCAGCAATTTGACAATGTGATAAAGGCCCTGGAGGCAGGAAAAGAAATAGATCTATCACAGATGCCTCCCCCACCGCAAGCTATAGCAGGTATATTTCCTTAACCTTTCAGTTTTAAAAGCTTTAAAATTGCAATAATCCATTTCTGGGAACAGCTTTTAGAATTCATTGTTTTACCATGCAAACATTAAACATAAGTTGTGAATATTGAGTACCTAGTACATGTACATGTATTTTTCGCTTTTTTTTTAAATTTGATTCCACAATTTCTCTGTGTATTGTAGTGTCATCAGGGGAGTTTGTGTCAGCCAAGTCTAAACCTCCAGAATTACCACCAGAACCTACAGCAGAGGGTGTGTATTTGTCATACGGGGCACCACTCAGATGATACATGGCCCCGGGATCATGAAGCAGTCTTAGACTTAAATTTTCAGTCATTCACAAAATGAATATTTATTGTAAGCTGACACATGAAAATAAAAATCAACAACATAAAAGGGTGACAATTCTTGGTAATATTTCAAATTCTCTGTTTTCTCTAACAAAACTTTAAGGAAGCTCTAACACTAAAAAAAAAGTGCTTTTTGGACTTGGAGAAAAATATATCATATAAAGGTGTGCATACTGAGACTATTTAATTCATTTTCAACATAGGGTACCTGCC